AAGGGAGGGGTGACAAATTGGTAATGCTGATGGTCAATGCAAAACACAGATAGCATTGATGATCTGGAAAGATGGGAATGCATAAATAAATGTCCTGGATGTCTATTGAGGCCAGAAAATCCCTCAAAAGAACTTTTGAACCTGTTGAAACAAGTTAAGAGTCTTCAGATCTGGAATGGTCCAGACTGTTTAAGGTATGGGGTCATGTAGACAGAAGTAGGGCTGACAGACACCCTCTTTCCCACTCTTAGAAGCCTTATCACTGGAAAAGAACCTTGGTACCGATCCTGGCTGGTTTGGAAGGCCATGTCTTCTAAAGGAAGTACGCACCAGAAGGGTGGCTGGTTGCTCCCACACACCTCGAGGGGTCTAGAGAACAACAGGCACCCTAAGCTGAATGCTTAAAAGGCCTCTGCCCTATACTCACCATAGAAGATCTAGTACTCAGTAGTAGCTGGGGATATATCCCTTCCTGGCTTTGCCACAATGGGCATACTCCCACAGGGGTCTTGAGGGAAAGGTTCTGCAGGCAAACCAGTGCCCTGGACCTTTTAAAATATCCTCTGGTTAACCCTATACATTGCACTATGTGCTAAGGGAAATACATACAGCAGGATCCAGGACATGGAAGTAACATTACAGACCTACTCAGCATCTTCCATCCAGTCTGGGTACAGTCCCCCCAAACTCTGCTAGGGAGTTAACCAATCTGGAAGCTGCATTGAGAGCTAAAGTGTTTATGGTAAAGCAGGGATCTTGATAGAAGAATAGTTTTAGTGGAATATCATCAGAAAGACAGAGATATACCTCCAAAGAAGAACGTAAGCTTCTAGAATTAGCGAGAAAACCGTCACCTAAGGACACTAAAAAAAACCGAGGCTAGCTGGGAGTGGATACATTGGGGGAAGTCCTTGCAGCCTTCCAGTTTTACCAGTATCCAGTCACCTAAAAGGTATTTAGATTACATATTACTGTCCATTTAAATAATGGAGAGTTCAAGATTGTCATGCCAACATAATATACCATGTTAACAAACTATAGCTTTTTCACTTTATTTTCATTTTACCTGCAGTTGATCTGATTTTTTTTACCCTGAATACGTTTAAGGCAGTCCTATCAGGACCTTTAGAATGAACTCCATTTTATGGCTTTTCACTTGTCATGTGTCCAAAATAATACTGATCTTTTCCATGACATTACATTATCACATACAATATAACTGTAGTGTTAACCTGGAATGTTTATTAAGCTCAGTTGCATTATTTTACTGTTACCTTTTTAACATATTTGTGATTGTAAACCTATTTTTTTTTAATAAATATTTAATGCTTACCTCCTCTGTACAATGGTTTTGCATAGAATAGCCCCAATCTTCTTCTTCTCGGGTTCCCTGTTGATGCTCCTGGCTCCTCCCCCTGCTGAGTGCACCCCATAGCAAGCCACTTGCTAGGGGGATACTCGTGTGGGCTCGATCTCAAGCTACGTTCTGTGTGTCCATTGACACACAGAGTGTGGCTCGACACCGCTGGCTGTGAATGACAGCAGTAGGAGCCAATGGCTGCTGTTGCTGCCTCTCTGTCCAGTGATGAGAGAGATAAACCATCAGTTTATTTTCGCTGCCTGTGGCTTGTCAGAAACTTCCAGAAACCTTACACTTCCTGTCCTGGAGAAACCTAAATCTTTACAAAGAGGGGAAAGTCACTAGAATAGGTGTTCCCACTGGAAGATACACCCCCCACCACTTGTTCTGGTGATGACTTTAAAATGTGGGATTTCCTATTACTTTCAGGAATAGAAGGAGATTTACTACAACTGGTTCACACAGAATCTGATGCAGCTATGCATAGTGACCAATCAGCGTCTGACTTCAGCTCATTCAATTAAACTTTGACAATACAACCTAGAAGTTTATTGGTTGCTATGTATAGCTGCACCAGATTCTGTGTGCATACGTTTTAGGAAATCTCCCTCAAAATGTCAACCAGGACCAATATAGCGGGTATATCTACCATTTCTTCTCCCACTGATCTCCAAAGGGAACCCTTCTCCACTGACCACAAATATAAGGAAGCATTTAAAATGGGCAGCACAGTGGCTAAATGGTTAGCACTTCTGCCTGGCAGTACTAGGGTCGTTAGTTCAAATCCCAACCATGGCACCACCTGTCTGGAGTTTGCATGTTCTCCCTGTGCCTGCGCAGGTTTCCTCCGGGTACTCCGGTTTACTCCCACACTCCAAAGACATGCTGGTAGGTGAATTGGATCCTGTCTAAATTGGCCCTGGTATGTGTATGTATGAATGTGAATTAGGGACCTTAGATTGTACACCCCTTGAGGGTTAGGGACTGATGTGAATGTGTAATATATATGTAAAGTGCTGCATAAATTGATGGCGCTATATAAGTACTTGAAATAAATAATAAAAGGCCACTTTTTTAAGGGGGCACTTTTCCCCTGACCATCAATGTAATGGGACATTACTGACCACCAAAGTGAGGAACACTACAATTTTCACCTTTCTGGTTACAATTATTACTGTTTTTAACTATTATCCATTACATAACTTTATCATATAGAGCAATTGTGGGTGTTAGATATGGTAAATATGCTACAATATTTATTATTTGTGCAGAGAGCTGGAAATACAGTAATTAAAAGCAGAGGCTCCCTGAGACCTACAAGTTTTTTCAAGGGTTCCTCCAAATTAAAAAGATTGGGAAAGGCTGCTCTAATGTCTGAGAGGCCCAAGATGTAGAGATCTGCCAGTCCTCCAGCAAGTCATCTCCTCCATGAGAAAAGAAAATGGCAATTGAGGGTCCATTCACACCAGCTGCTGTGTTACAATGCAGTAGCTGGTATTCTTTGCAGTGCAGGCAGTGATATGTAATAAAGTTCTATCAGCTGCCGTGTGGTGACTATGCTACACTGAAAAAAGTATGTCAGGCTGTACTTTTTTTTTCAGCGCACACCACTGCATAGTGGTGGTGTGAACCAGCCACACTGGAGACAAGGCTTTTTGCCATGTATTGAGGTGGGGTTGCTGTGGGACAGGAGGGAAATAGACTCCCAACGTAGTCCCACCACACCTGGTGTGAATGGACCCTGATTGTAAGTACTACTGAAAATCCAAATCACTTGCCCTTACCAGGAGGTTATGGCCAACCAAAGGGTGTCCTAACCTGGCCATATGCAGGCTTTTTAAGTTTGCTTCAATTAGCATTTTAGCATACTGGTTATATAAGCTTTTCTCACCCCTGTCTTGCTCTCTCCTATAAGAAGAACCCACTAAGAAGGAGAACAAATATGATGACAGACAATGAAGGGATTTCTTTGTGTTGAAATATCTTTTGTACTTAGGCTCTTCTGATAATGTGATAGAGTAAATACTGACATTCCAGAGGAAGAAAGGCTTTCTTTGGGGTAGGAAAAAAAAAAAAAGGACACAAGTCTGTTAATTATATTGACATGTGATCTTACTGAAGGGAATCAGAGGTGAATTTTCAATATGTGCACACAAATCCTCTGTAATGGGAGATTGTCTTCTGATGTCACTAAGCACCTTGGTTCTTGAAACTAATGTCTTTTAGTAAGTTTGTATATGACATGCAGGGGGTGTTGCTGATTTTCCCCCTACAATCATTTTCTCAGGTGTGACAGAAAAAAAAAAAAACATCTAAGTACCTTTTTCCTAATCTATATACAGCTGTCACATGACCCAGCTCTTTCCCAGCCTGTCTGCAGGAAAACATAAGGAGGAGCTTCTAGTACTCTGCTGCTGATCACATGTTCACAATAAAAACGAAAAAAGCCTTGGGATACAGGGTAAAATTAAATAATTAATATCAATAAACTGTTTTAATGTCATACAAATATATTTGAAATCAAATCTTTATTATTTTTTGGCAATACCATGGTGTGGGTGGATTTCTGCCCTTCACATGCCCCTCCAGCCTGTGTCTTAGAATAACAGGGAGATGAAGCCTCTATCAATAAAAATGTAATATCCCATCCGCATTGTGTTTATCTGGTTAGTGGGCATGGAAGAGGAGGGAGGGAGTGGACTGTCATTTACCAAAGTGTATGCCCATGTGCTGCTCAGATGTGATAGGGAGGAAATGCTCAGCATGGAAACTCAATGAAAGCTAAGCATGTGCACTAGTTGCCAGAGCAGCTCTGCAAAATTCCCAGCTGCACTGGGGACCTGGATAGAATGGGAGATTGAGAGCAGCAAGACCAACTAGGTTTTTTTTTGCAGATCAACTAGGTTTTTTTTCAGAATACAGAAGTTGAATCTCAGAGTGAAGGAGTATGAAAAGAATATAATACAGCATGTGCTTTTTTTTTAATGATGTGGGTTTAGTGACACTTTAAGAGCTGCAGCCATGTGTGTAGGTATCTTCAAACCACCATTTCTATTGTTTCCTTCACAATATGGGCATTCGGACCGTTTCATTAGAACGTTGACACAACAATCTGCACACTAAATATAAAGGAGCTTTATTTGATTTTTTTTAAACTTGGCTTATCAAATTCTAATGATAACTTGCTGCAACATGACATTAAACTTTTAATTTTATATCATCCAATAATGTATCAGCAGTGGCAAACAACATTGTATATTTGCATTGTTTGGCTCTCTTAGACAAAACACCTGATATGTATCACCTTTATATAAATATGCCAAACACTACAATGCAAACAGCAGCAATGTGTAACAACTCATGGCAACCTATCACAGATATGCTTTAATTTGCTAACCAATATGTGATTGGCTGCTGTGGGTACAAACTCACTGTGTTTTGCACTAGCTTATTAGAATAACCCTGTTTGTTACATCTCCATGCTTTGAAATATAACTAATCCTTCATTGAGTCACATTTACAACATTAGGAATTATGGAAGAACTTGATCTTCTACTGTCCTCTCAGATGGAATTCTGAAGGACATAGAAGTTGAATATATATGTTTTGATGTGTCCTAATTCTCTGATTACGATTTGTGTCATCTGTGCAAGCCAATATTTCGTATTTCTGAATGGGGATTTTCCAGGTTGGTTCTGTCATTTGGTTCACTTGGATTTGCCATTGTGTAGTTTTCTTCTAATGGTGGTCTGTTGTGCAATCCATTGACTCCTCTGAAGTTTAGGATCAAATCTAGAAGAGAACATTGGTGACACTGTTACAAATATTTCTCCCACATGGTAATTACAGGACAGCAGCACACTGCAAGCAACTCAAATGAAGCTCTCAGCTCTCCCACCAGTCCAAACATCTCCAGCTTTTAACTGTTGTTGCTGCACTGAAAAATCCAGGGCAATCTAGACCACTGCCAAGGCTATATTTTTTATGAAATGCACCACTAGGCCTGCACTATTATAAACCCCGGGTAAATATGGCATTACACTTTAATTAATGCCTCTTGTATCATTCCCCTACTTCCTGATAGTGTCAGCGGAGAGGATTAATACACAAAAGGAGTTTCATGCAGGTGTTAAATTATGTGGAAGTTCCAGTTTAGCTTGGTGTCTCATTACAAGTTCAACCCAGGACAGGACAGAGCTTTGAAGGTTTCAGCACCATGTTTGTTTATTTAATTGTTTATTACAGGTACCTATATAGCTCCACAATTTACGCAGCAGTTTACATATACATGTATTCATATGTACATTCACATCAGTCCCTGCCCTCAAGAAGCTCACAATCTAAGGTCTCTGTCACATTCATGCACATACAAGAGCCAATTTAGACAGGAGCCAATTAACCTACCAGCATGTCTTTGGGTACTCCAGTTTCCTCCCACACTCCAGAGGAAACCCATGCAGCCACTGGGAGAACATGCAAACTCCAGGCAGGTAGTACAGTGGTTGGGATGCCAACCAATGACCCTAGTGCTGCAAGGCTAACCACTTAAATCTTTTTTTTAAAGAAAACCTGTCGTCACATCATTTGTTTAATCAAAAATTCTTATAAAAGTATACATTAATTTAACATACATATAACATTTAACAGCAGTTTATGCATGTTATTTACCTGTAAAAGCCTGAGTTTTGTAGACATAAAAAGCCTGAGATTGCTGTTGGGCACCATCATCTTGGATGACCCTCTGTAGCAGGGGTCTCCAAATTTTCTAAGCAAAGGGCCACTTGTCTGTTCTTCAGACTTTAAGAGAGCCAGAGAGTGGCAAGTGGCAGTAGAAAATGCCTCAGACTTGGTGGTCAGTGGGGGTAAAAATAATTAAATAACACCTGTGGGCAGTAGGAGTGAGAAAAATAATCTCAATTGTTGGCGTCCATGGAAGGATTAGTTCCTCATCATTGGTATTAGTGGGAGGAATAGTGCTCCATCATTAGTATCAATGGGGGAATTAGTGTCCCATCATTGGCATTAATGGGGGAATTAGTGTCCCATCATGGTATCCATGGGGAAATTAGTGTCCCATCATTGGCATTAGTGGGGGGATTAGTGCCCCATCATTGATATTAACGGTAGGAATGGTGCCCCATCATTGGTATTAGTGGGAGTAATAGTGCCCCCAACCGTGGTTGCAGGAAAGAAAATTGCATCATCTATCACTTGCCTAAGAGCATCTGTGAAGTCCAGTACACCCTAGTGTCAAAAGGAGGCACATAGAATACATTCCTGCTATATCAAGAAATCCTGGATACTGAGTAGAGACACAATACAATGACCTATTCAACTTCCTACTCCTATTAGGTTATCACATTTGCCTTTCTCTGCTATCTTCATATGGAAGTATTTGGAGCAGTGCATGGATTTTCACAAAAGAGGGACTTCTGGACCCTCGAAGCTTGAAGCGTAGGTCATGAGCCCATGCATTGTGTACTCGTTATCTCCTTTACCACACAGGCTGCATAGAGGTCATCAAATGCTATCAGAAAAGGTTGAAATGTCTACACTGTTAAAATCCAAATAAAAAAGTACAGACTGTGAAATCACGACAAAGATAAAACCCAATCAATATTTACACCTGCTCTAGTTAATATAACCTAACCATAACCACGTCCAGGAATAAAATACAGCTGGTACTAGAAAATAAATAAAAAAAAAAAAAAACCAAAAACGAACGACAGCTACAGTATTACAATGCAAATTTGTAAAATCCTCAGTGAAAGGTTTTCACTATGGCACACTAAAGTTGGCAATACACTAGTAGATTTTTGAACAAAATAGTTTCCCAAACAAGCACCACCTTCACGGTTATAAATTGCTTTGAATGTTCTTGAGGAAAGTGGAAAGATAGTGCAGGACCCCTAGCTTTACTTTACTGGTATTGTTATCTTAAGGTATTAACCACTTGCCCTCCAGAGGAATTACCCCTCTTCATGACCAGGTCATTTTTTGCAATACAGCGCTGCGTAAATTTAACTGACAATTGCAACGCTGCACCCAAATGAAATTTACGTCCTTTTTTCCCCCACAAATAGAGCTTTCTTTTGGTGGTATTTGATTGCCTGTGTGTTTTTTATTTTTTGTGCTATAAACAAAAAAAGACCGACAATTTTGAGAAAAAAAACTATTTTTTTTACTTTTTGCTATTAAGCATGTCCAGCAAAAAAATGTAAAAATTAAATTTCTTCATAAATGTAGACCAAAATGTATTCTGTTACATGTCTTTGCTAAAAAAAAAAGTCCAAATACTTGTAAATTAATTGGTTTACATGAAAGTTATAGGGTTTACAAATGGTGGTATATATACACTGGAATTTTTTTTTTTTTTTTTTACTAGTAATGGCGGTGATCAGCGACTTATTACGGGAATGCAGCGGGCATTCTGACACTGGGGGGAACTGACTTGGTGTCACTGACATCCCCAGTGACACCAATACAGTGATCAGTGCTAATAAAAAGCACTGATACTGTACTAATGGTAGTGGGCAGAAAGAGGTTAACATGTGGAGCAATCAATGGGTTAACTGTGTGCTTTGTCACTACGGGGGGCTGTGTATGCTTCATTGTAAGCACACTGCTTTGTATGACTCTGCTATGCGGAGCCATACAAAGCAGTGCGCAGGATCTGATGGGAGAGATCTGTTCTATATTGTATATACACAGGTCTCTCCCCCCGTCAGAGAAACTCTGCGATCACTAGGTTTGGGTGAGTAATCACCGGGCGGTACCCGGTGATTGACAGCTGAGGCGGCACCCCCTATCTGCTATAGAGTGGCGTGGAAGAGTTTAATGTTGCTGTAAATGACCTGGTTCCTGGACAGGCGGCTTCTATACCCCAGAGGATCTCCAGTATCCTTGGCTTGTAGTGTATAAGAAGAGTTGAAATTGAAGCGCCACACCACTAAGAGGTCCAGATACAACTTCATTCCATGAAAGGTCAGGGGTATAATTAAAGGTCAGGGGTATTCCAGTGTGAATTGAAAGCACAGGCCAAACAAGCTGCTCATCAGACCTGTGCTTCCAATTCGACTGGAATAAATGCCATTGTAGGTCCACATCACTTCTGGTTTGTTCACTTTGACAATCAAGTTCTGATGAAGGGGGCACATAGACCTTGGCTACTTGAATTTTAACCTGTCCTCTTAGCAGTGTTGTGGCGTTTCAGTTTCAACTCTTTGAATTTTCTTGTCACTGAGTTCGAAAATGTATGGCCAGTTTAAAAGAGAAGTGTGGGATTAAAAAACAACAAAAAACATTCATATTCACGTAGATGGATGCAGCATCGATCCGATGCTGCATCTGTCTCCCACCGCCTGTACACTGAGAAATGAGTGATCAAAGATCGGTGATTGCTCAATTCTTGAGGCCGCTTTGATCAGAGAGTGGTGATTACTTTTGCAGCGCTTACTGGAGCTCAGAGCTGTGAGTGGGGGAGGGGCTGGCGAGAGTGGCTGGCTCAGGCTCTCAGGTACTCTGAGTGGCTGAACCAGCTGCCAGTCAGGCATCTGGGGAGATCCTGACATTATTGTTGGGATCCAGACAGAGCCTGGACTGGCCTATCCTACCACTACAAGAAAAAAAGGGTTTACATGTTGATGTTGGGGGCTATTGCGGCATTCTTGAGAGGCATTTTAAAGCACAGACTGTTTCTATTTTTTTTTTTTTAATATTTATTATATGTTTTCATTAAACTTTTGAGATCTCTGCTGACAAACAATTCTTTATTCTTCTCAATGAAATGATTTTAGCAAGAGTTCATCTTGTGTAAAAAGGTTGAGAAAGGCTGCACTAAAGTGATCACAAACACCTTCAACTGTTGGACACTGTCATGTAATCATGTCAACCTGCATTTGTTCCAGCTTTTCCTACAAAATGAAATCTTACCTTGAATTGCACATATGCATTGTACTGTGAATACAGCCACCACAGCAGACACCAGCACATACATCTAAAACAAAAAAAAAAGAAAGATAGAAATTTTTACAGTGCGTAGAACAATTTATGACAGTTATAAAGTGGTAATTTAGAGGTGACCTCCTATTTGTACCATAGGGGAGCGCAGTAATATATTCCAGGCGTTCTTTACTTGAAGGTAAAGGAGCACAAGGGTACAAGGACTGACACCTTCATCACTACTGTGATTCTGGCACCTGCAAAGTCCATCACAGACATTTCAGTTATTTACAATGAATACTCAGAAGGCAGACAAATTATATTACAAGAAATTACTATGAAAACACAGAAGAGCGTACATGGGAAAAAACAGCCTCATTTGCAAATTTTTCCAGTAGAACACCAATGTTACCATTTAAATCTTATCATCTGTAAATTCTCACCACCTCAGTCTGCTTCCCTGCCTGAAATAATGACCATCAATAATACTTCTAGCACCTCTAGATCCAGGTAACATTTCACAGGACCCAATCATTTAAATCTGACATCTACAACTAGCTTACTCTTGTCCTGTCCAGCTTAAAGGAAACCTGTCATGAGAGAAGGAAGGCCACCACTGCTGATGTTTCCTTCTGAAAATGTTAGTTGTTGACTGGTATACTTGCCATCTTGTTAAAATGGAACTCTAAGAATTGCAGCACTTTTAAAAATATATTGGCCTGTAAGGGGTTAAGTGTAATCAATGTATACAACCTCATGGCCTCATCTCTTATTTACCATTTACATTTTTACGGAGCACATGGAGTACAATATTGCTATACTCCTGGCACTCAGATAACAGAGATGCACTCTGCTACGTAGCAGCTGCTCTGTCCGAACCACCCCTCTGCTGTCCATTCACAGAATGCTTTGTATTTTATGAGTGGGTTCAGATATTAAAAAACCTTGCCTAGGCAGGAGGAGAGGAAGGGCAGGAAGAGATGCTGCAAATGAATCTACAGCTGCTATATCAGAGATCATGAAGTTCCAGTGTCAAGAAGCTAACTATGCACTCAGTAAAAATGTAGATAGTAAATAAAATAAATATATCCACAAGGTAGTATACTATACATCTAGTTGGACTTCTACCCTTTAAGCCAGCAGATTTTTTAAAGCACTGTAATTCCTAGAGTTCCACTTTAAATAATTCACTGATCATGATTAAATGTGCAAATGAAATGTTGTGACTTTTTACTGACTTTTTTGACTTACATATGTCAATGTCTCTGTTGAAGTCAGTGGGTAAATCAGATAAATTTCAGCACTCCGATACTTGATGTATTCACTTTTGTATCCTCTTTGTGCTGTAAATGCTTTTATTATGCATTGCAATTTGGAATTGTTCTTGCCATTTTTATGTATGTGTATTATCAGTATGATTTATTCTTGTTTGTTTTCAACGCTGACTTTATACTGTGCAAAGATACTAGAGGCACTAAATACTCATATTGTTTAATGCTAACCATGGAAGGAGAGAGGTTTTACATACAAGCAGGCCAATTTTGGACAAGCTACACCAGCTATCACTTGAAGAATATGTAGAAAGCAACTGCAGGATCAAATGAATGGTACACAAATACATGGTGCCTCAGAGTTTTATCCTCATTACATTGATTTCTCTATGCTTGAATACCCGAATAGTGACAACACCTGATAGAATGCAGTCGCTGTTCGGCAGATGGCTTTCCACCCAGTGGATTTGTTTATACAACGTTTTACAAGGTGGCTGGTGCTGACAGGGAAACCCATGGCTTGAATTATGGACAATTCAGCAGGAATCAGCCTAAGTTCAAATTGTGTAGTGCCAGCTTTAGTCCCACCCCTGTCAGATCCTTGAGTCTTTACTGCCCACTGAAATGTGCCATTTGACATGATATATAAATGACAAGGGAGCTGGGCTTGTGCCAGGACAAGCATGGCCTAAAGTCAACTACAATCCAAGTACACCCTGGGCTTAGAATCCAAGGATGATCTATAAGGACCAATTTGGCAAGAAAAAGGTGTCCGCGTTTCCTCACTGTTGTTACCTTTTTAATTTAAAGTGGTTGTACACCCTTACAATTACCCAGTGAATTGACTGGCTTCAGGTGATACACAGTGATGAGACAAATCCTCCTACATAGGTTGTACCTGTTTATCTGAAGTATTCTCTACTCTACATCCGTTTAAAATGTATAAAGTTTAGAAAACTGAGGGCGGACAGCTGCAATTACACTCTTCAGAGCTCAGTGAGGAGAACTCTGACAGCTGATTGGAGGATTCCTTCACACAGCACACAGGAACAGAGCTGAGGCTGTCACTCCTGCTGGAAGTCCCTCCCCTGGCACCTTTTTTCTCTTGGTGTCAGGAAAACCTGTCAGAAGTGATTCATGCAGATAGCAGAGGAACGAAGCAGCAGACAGAACTGACACCTTATGCTCTAAATTGAGACAAGTACATACTATAGTGAAATATGCTTTGTTCATATTTCATACCTGAGGTTCACAACCACTTTAAGGCAAGGTCAGGTTCACTTTAAAGAGCACTGAATTCAGCATCCCTAAAGCAATCTGGCGAAGCGTGTTGGAAGATACCATGCATTGTCTTGGATGTCATTTAATTGGACTGAGTATTAATGCTACATCTCATTTTCTACCATTTCTGGGCTTTTGGGACTAAGGAGAAACACATGCCAGCTAGTAGTTGTGATCCTGTGACTATATTACCACCCCATTTATTATTACTAATAATTGCAGTATAGATCTCTCTTGCTTGTGTACAGCTGTAATACCCAGCTTTTATCTATTAGCCCTTCACAGTACATATATGTATTGGTGCTGCTTCTGCCTGTATTAAATCTATGCAGGCTACAATTATAAAATGGACTATGACAAAAAGCACTTCCAGCACACACAGTAATACAGAAGGTACCTGTACTAACAAGGTGGCCTGCAATGAAAGCAGTGTTAGATCAGAAAGGTTCCATAGATTGTACCTGTCCAGCCAAACTAAAACAATACCATTTACAACAAGCAATACTCTTGATTTGATTGGAGCTCCTCATGCTCATGCAGATATCATATGGGGACATCATTGTTCACTTCCCATCTCACCAGCCCTAGATCTTACTGCTGCCTAGTCCACCTTTGGCCAGAACTCGCCCACTCCGAGTATAGAGCTACTGTCTTTTATGTAATAATATACTGGTGTTATTTACACATTACACTGACTTGGGATATATTTCACTGCAATCATAATATTCATGAATCTCAGAAATTATAATCAGCAGAAAACTGAACCTTTCGTAGAGCTCTATCACAACGGTGTGGTTATCCCCAAGCACAGATCTGTCCAATTTCAAAGGTCTTAATATGTATTCAGGAATAGGGACGCCTTCTTGAATTAGTTGAGCTAAGTTGAAAAAGCCCTGAAAAAAAACACACAAATAATTTAGTAAGACAAACATCAGAAAAATAATACTACTGTTGATAAGAAAAAGCGTCACCTGGCATTTCCTTAAAAATACAAAGACACGGGGACATTACACTACTCATGCCACTGGAGGTAGTGATTCTAATGCCACCCACTAATCCCACAACAAAATGGTGCTGCCAACCCATGACATGTACTAAACCCACAACAATAAAATCAGTCTGTATATGCAGTAAAGTATGCTTGTTATACTCACTGTGGAACCTAAGGAGTTAATCCTCTACATTGTGTAAAAAGGCGTTTGATTCTGTTTTCTCTGCCCCTCCTCTTGTTCAAATGTCCATGTCTTATCTCCTGATAAGACAGACTGAACCCGGAGCCACATGCACATGCTCAGTTTAGTGCGTATTGCTAGAGGTTTTTTTTTACTTGGGAGAGTGCATGTGATCAGCACAAAGCCAATCAGCACTGTCCAGACAGAGGTCAGGGGTTTTGCATCCTCTTAGAGCAGAAAGAAAACTCCTCCTGCGAGCTTTAACCAGTGCTCTGCTGAAGTCACAAGACTGCTCTAACTGCTGATGAGAAGAGGTATTTAGAAGTTTATATGTACTAAAATGATTGTATTTCCATGTTCTGTGTACTGTGGGAGACCAGATAGAGTGAATGCAGGGTCTTGGGTTTAGTAACACTTTAATTCTGGATTTTCCCCATCAAACTCATGGGGAGTGGAATAAGGAAACGCAAGAGGCCAGAAAGGAAAATGATAACATCAGGTCAGTCCTCATTAGTAAGATCAGTCAACAGCCTCACCATGCCTTATGGTAAGAATGCTTTCAATGAAAATCTGAAAGATGTAAAGAAGGCTGGATTTGATACCTGAGCATCTCCAAGTGCTGCCGCCTGTGTGTACATCTTCACTGACTCTTCCAGATGTCTATGGTGGTGTTCCCCTCCATAATAATACATGTCACCCATCTTCAATAAAGCTGTGTAAACAAAGGAGTCACATTCATGGTCAGGTGACTATTACTCAAACAGAACATGCACCAAACACTCAGAAGACAAATATGTTAAAGCGGAGCTCCACTCAAAAGGGGAAGTTCCGCTTTAAGGACTGCTCCCCTGCTCTCCATTAAGGATTGGCACCTTTGGGGGGCGGAGGGGGGAGCGGGTACCCGAATTTGACAGGTACCCGCTCCCACTTCCAGTCGGATCGCTACGGTGATCAGAAACGGAAGGTGTCCTCCCTCCCTCCCTGTAGTCTTTTGGGACAAGTGACAGGTTCCAGAAGACTACAGGACCATTCATGAAGCGCAGCACTACTTGCGCATGTGCAGTGGGTACCTGGCTGTGAAGCCACAAGCAGTCACAGCCGAGTGCCCACACTGAAGATGATGGCCTCCTGGAATCCAGGGCAGCCAGTGAAACGAGCTGCTGCGGGGGGACACACCACAGGACCGAGGGACAGGTAAGTGGCTGTTTTTTAAAAGTCAACAGCTACAGTTTTTGTAGCTGCTGACTTTTATTTTTTGATAGGTGAGTGGAACTCCGCTTTAATTATTACTATGCTTTCAGTACATCTTTGTGTATAGTAACATCCATATTCAAAAAGTCATCACATTTAAACAGATTAAAGTGATTGTAAACCAATACATTTAAAACAAACAAACATGTCATACTTACCTACTCTGTGCAATGGTTTATGCAGCTGCATGTAGAGGTTTTTTTACCTTAATGCTGAGCTAGTTTTACTTTGTCAGTCCTAAATTTAAGATGTGTAAATGTACAGTTGTGTTCAAAATAATAGCAGTCAGACATCACTAACCTGATCAATCACTGTTATTTATACATGGCAAATAATTTACTAGCAGGTGTAGTAGAGTAATAGAAATCCAATAGACCCAACAGTCATGACATGCATGCTGCTGATTCTGTGTAATTGAGTCACTAATTGAAAGGGGCATGTTCAAAATAATAGCAGTGTGGAGTTCTATTAGTGAGGTCATTCATTCTTTGAAAAACAGGTGGCAATTATTGCCCTTATTTAAGGAAGGAAGGCAGCAAATGTTGTACATGCTGGTTACAGTGCATTTCTCTCTGAAATTCTGAGGAAAATGGGTCGTTCCAGACATTGTTCAGAAGAACAGCGTACCTTGATTAAAAAGTTGATTGGAGAGGGGAAAACATATAAAGAAGTGCAGAAAATGATAGGCTGCACAGCTAAAATGATCGCAAATGCTTTAAAATGGCAACCAAAACCTGAAAGATGTGGAAGAAAGCGAAAAACTACCATTCGAATGGATAGAAGAATAGCCAAAATGACAAGGACTCAGCCAACAATCAGCTCCAGGAAGATGAAAGAAGGTCTAAAGTTACCTGTGAGTACTGTTACAATTAGAAGACGCCTATGTGAAGCCAAGCTATCTGCAAGAAGCCCCCGCAAAGTCCCGCTGTTGAAAAAAAGACGTGCTGAAGAGTTTACAATTTGCCAAAGAGCACATTGACTGGCCTAAAGAGAAATGGCGCAACATTTTGTGGACTGATGAAAGTAAGATTGTTCTTTTTGGGTCTAGTGGCCGGAGACAGTTTGTCAGACGACCCCAAACACTGAATTCAAGCCACAGTACACTGTGAAGACAGTGTAGCATGGTTGCGCAAGCATCATGATATGGGGATGTTTCTCATATTACGGTGTTGGGCCTATTTATCGCATACCAGGGATCATGGATCAGTTTGAATACATCAGAATACTTGAAGAGGTCATGCTGCCTTATGCTGAAGAGGAAATGCCCTTGAAATGGGTGTTCCAACAAGACAACGACCCCAAACACACCAGTAAACGTGCAACATCTTGGTTCCAGACCAACAAGATTGACGTTATGGAGTGGCCAGCCCAATCCCCGGATCTTAATCCAATAGAAAATTGGGGGTGACATCAAAAATGCAGTTTCTGAGGCCAAACCAAGAAATAAAGAAGAACTGTGGAATGTAGTCCAATCATCCTGGGCTGGAATACCTGTTCACAGGTGCCAGAAGTTGGTTGACTCCATGCAACACAGATGTACAGCAGTTCTCAGAAACAGTGCTTATACAACTAAATATTAATTAAGTGATTCAAAGGAAAGCAAAATCTTCAAACATTTTTCAGTTTATATAGTGAATGTTTGAGTTTGTCAGGAAGAATACAAACACTGCTATTTTTTTGAACAGTCTAATATTCACTTTTCTTCAATTTTTTTTAGAGGAACAACACAAATTTGATATATTTTTTCTTCATGTTTTGATTTGGAATAGAATGTGTAGTGTTCCCAATGCATTTGTGTGTATGGAAATAAAAGCTATTAGAAGGATTTTGAGCTTTATTCAATTTTTTCAACACACTGCTATTATTTTGAACACAACTGTACATTGCGTTCAGGGTTTCAAAACATATCCCTTTTGTATTCTGCGGATTATCTGGGGAAAAATTGTCCTTTGGGATAAAGGATTACCAGACAGACAGACAATGATGATTTTGTCATAAAGTCGTACAATTTCTTATAATAATTCTATTGGATGCTATCAATGTCCTTTAGTTTCTTGGATCAGGAATGATGTATCTAATGATCACATTCAAAACAAAGACAAAAGCACATAGCTCCACCTTGTGGATGAAAAAAAAATATCGTTGAACAGCTTAAAAAGGATAAGTTCACCATTCCACAAAAAATAATAAATGCACATTTTTTTTCAGGTAAAAAAAAAATGTGCATTTATAATTTTTCGTGTTAGGATCCTATAAAGTATTTACCAGCGGTCAGCAGATCACTGGTGCCATGTAGGTCTCCTGCACACTGTCAGTATATCTGCTAGTCATACATCCCATACAGGTAAATCGATACTTGCTGACAGGAAGAATCAATGAACTACCACAGCGCTCACAGTGCCGTGGCAGTTCATTGAGGACTACAAGCCGACAGCTGCTAAGGTTGTCAGGACCTGTAGTCCATTCATTCACAGGGGACTGTGAATGAATATGCGATCGTGTAGGTGGGGCCCCGCATGGCCGCGCAGTTTTAGAAAAGTAACAGCTGGTACGTGGAACTTCTCCCCATACTTCTGTCATAGGAAGGGGGGGGCAGTGGGCAGAGGTTGTAGGATCAGGAAAATATTACATGTTCTACCTTAAAAACAGGTGGAACATGTAACATGTTCCCAAAGGTGGACTTATCCTTTAACATGAAAACATACCTTAAAGTGGGCATAAACCCTTACATATACCCAGTCAAGTGACTGGCCTCAGGTGATACACAGAGATGAAAAGAATTCTCCCACACAAGTTGAGTCTGCCTATCTACAGCCGTGTTCCCCCTACATCCATTCAAAGTGAAAAATTTACACAAGATCTGTCAGCTCTGAAAATCAGGGGGTGGAGAGCTGAAGTTTATTTATTTCAGGTACTTATATAGCGCCATCAATTTACATATATATTGTACATTCACATCAGTCCCCAACCCTCAAGGGGCATACAAAGTCCGTAACTCACATTCATACATACACATATAAGGGCCAATTTAGACAGGAGCAAATTAACCTACCAGCATGTCTTTGGAGTGTGGAGAAAACCGGTGTACCTGAAGGAAACCCACGCAGGCACAGGAGTACATGCAAACTCCAGGCAGGTGGTGCTGTGGTTGGGATTTGAAGCAACAATCCTAGTACTGCTAGGCGGAGGTGCTAACCATTTGGCCCCTGTGCTGCCCATTACTTCAGTGAGGAGAGCTCTGAGAGCTGATTGGAGGGAAGGGACACACCCCACTCCACACATTGCACAGGAACAGTGCTAAGGCTGTCAATATTCTGGAAGTCCCTCTCTTGTCTCCAGTTTTCTCTTGGTGTCAGGAAAATGTGTCAGAAGTGATTCATACTGATAGCAGAGGAACAAAGCAGCAGACAGAAATGACACTTAGTACTCTTAATTGAGACAGGTACATGCTATAGAGTGATATGCGTTGTTCATATTTCATGTCCAAGATTTACAACCACTTTAAAGTACAGTATATGTCATTATCACATGCTCAGTAAAGTGCATTTTGAAAACCGAAAGTGCATGATTCTAGCTCAGTGACACTTTCAGTGTTACTGAGATAGAAAATAGATGTTTCAAAAATAGTTGTTTCGATAACAGGATGGCTGAAAGAGAAGTATAAACACTTATACTCCCCTAGGTGGATCGATGCTGCATTTTTCCCTGCCGACTCTGCACTGAGAACTGAGCGATCAAACATCGCTGATCACTCAGTTCTCCCCTGCACTCTGAGCAGAGAGTCAAGACTATCACTGGCACTCTGCCCCTCCCTCCACTGGAGCTCTGGGCTAGAGAGGAGGAAGCAGTGGGGTCAGTTTCCCAGCGGTGCAGCTGAAAGGCTGTCAGGTGCCGGTCCAGCTTTAGCCTGCCGACAACTAAAAATGGGTCACAGGAGTGCAGAAGAACTGTGACCTACAGGAGAAGTATAGCTAACAATAGCTTTGGCTATACTTATTTAATTGAATCAATATATGTGCATGGCCGGATCTAGGGGGGTGCTGGGGTGGGCTACGCCCCCCACATTTCAGTTGTGACCCCCTCCTAGGCAACAACTACCCCCATGGAGGTTGTTCCTAGGCAGGGTTGCCAGCCGTCCATAAGAAAAAGCTGTTGGTGAATATAGGGGCGGGCTGGCTGCGCCTGTGCAGGCTGAGTGTCTGTAACGCTCCCAAGGAGTGCAGCCAGCACACTCCCCCCTCCCTCCCAGCATAGATGGGAGAGAAGAGAGGTATTGATTTGCTCAACCTCCACCCCCCCCCCCTCTACTCTGTGTTTGCCCACTCCAATCCCCGACCAGTGCGGTGCCTGAGGAAGGGGGTGAGGGTGGAAAATTTTAAGAATAATCTGGCTGTTTGTCTGCTGCTATCTGCATCTGCAGTGACCAGCTTGGGGTGAATGAGCACTGTACTAGGTCTGGACTCTCCCCATTTTCTGTCCTTCTCTCCCCCATCTGTCTTCTTCGCCTTCCTTGTTCTTCCAGGAGCTTTACCAATTCATTTCATGTCCAGTTAGCAACTGAAGTCTGATGGAAGGGGCCACACCGCTGAAGGGGCCAGAACAGTGATGGAAGGGGCCACGCCGCTGAACACTGATGGAAGGGGCCACGCCGCTGAACACTGATGGAAGGGGCCACGCCGCTGAACACTGATGGAAGGGGGAAGGGGCCACTGAACCGCTGAACACTGATGGAAGGGGCCACGCCGCTGAACACTGATGGAAGGGGCCACGCCCGCTGAACACTGATGGAAGGGGCCACTCCGCACTGAACCACTCTGCTGAACACTGGATGGAAGGGGCCACTCCGCTGAACATTGATGGAAGGGGCTACTAAAGACTGATGGCCTAAATATCGTGACAAGATGACCCTGCACTGTGCTGCAGTGTTTTCATATGAGATTCGGATCAGGGGCGGACTGACCATTTGGAAACTCGGGCACTGCCCGAGGGCCCGGGGTCAGTAGGGGGCCCCATGAGATGCCCCGGTACTTTTTCATAGGCTATTTTGAGTTTGGGCAAGGACACAGGGGCCCCACGATCCCCTATTGCCTGGGGGCCCCATGAGTTGTCAGTCCGCCCCTGATTCGGATTATTCAGCATTCTCTGGGATCTAGCAGCAGGAGGAGGACATCACCCCTGCACTACGGAAGTCTAAGAAAAATGAGTACGGTATATTTTATACCAGTTTGTCCTTCCACAGGAACATTTATTTAGCATTTTACAGAGAGGAGGGGGTATCTTTAATAAGCAAACCTTGCCACTTAGGTGAAAGGTTCAATTTTAAGTACAAAGACATAAAAAATTAAAAAAAACTATTAAGACTGCTTCATCAAGTAATCTATATTCGGTACCATCAAGAATAATGAATACCCACCATATGTTGAGGGAGTGGGCTGGCGTGCTGACAAGTTGTAATACCTCCATACACAGGAATCTCTTAGTGGGATTGCAGACAGTTCCTAAAAAAATAAAACATATTTATTATTTATGCAGGAAAACTGAAAACTCTGAATAGGGTATGGGTGCTTTAGCAATAGGCAATCTCCTATGTACTGTATAGGAATCTGTTATTCTTTGGTTTGGTGAAGAGGCAAACGTTTTGCTACATCTATGTTAAAGCAGAACTAAACCCTTCCATGCTTTTCAGCCAAAGAAGCTGTTTGATCTGCAACTGCCATAGTGCTGCACTTGTGATCAATTATGACAACATCTATTTGATGGTTTGGTTGAAAGCACCAGCAAATGTGACAGCTGGCATTTCCGGCACATGCCAGGAATGTAACTCTTTTTTGAAACTGTTAAATCGATTTAGCTCCACTGTAAACTAGGTAGACACTAGTAGAATGTCAAATTAAAATTCATATGAAAATTCTCCACACATTTAAATGTCTTTCAAAAGCAGGGCCGGATATAGTTGGGTGTTGGGATGGGCTGTGCCCCCCACAGATTTTAATTGTGCCCCCCCCCCCCCCCATGGTCTCCAAGAGTGTATTCACTGGTCCATAAGCCAGTCTGATGCAGACAGTTGATGTAAAGGGGCACTCTGATGAGGACAATCCATGAAAGGGGGCACTCTCATGGGAACACCTGATGTAGGCGGGCACTCTGATGGGGACACCCGATGTAAGGGGGCACTCTGATGGGGACACCTGATGTAAGGGGGCACTCTGATGGGGACACCCGATGTAAGGAGGCACTCTGATGGGGACACCCGATGTAAGGGGGCACTCTGATGGGGACTCTGATGCACTCTGATGGGGACACCCATGTAAGGGGGCACTCTGATGGGGACACCCAATGTAAGGGGGCACTCTGATGGGGACACCCATGTAAGGGGGCACTCTGATGGGGACACCCAATGTAAGGGGGAACTCTGATGGGGACACCCGATGTAAGGGGGCACTCTGATGGGGACACCCGATGTAAGGGGGCACTCCGATGAGTAGTTATGATGTATAGGGGGACTCTTATAAGGACATCTGACATAAGTGGGCACAGGTTCTGTTTAATAGTGCTGTGACACTGTAACAGACTGTCAGTAGTTCTCACACAGTGTTTACATTGTGCCCTCTGACTCTTTTTACTGCACCCCCAGATCAGACAGGCTAGATCCAGCCCTGTTCAAAAGTAGTTCAAGATTTTGTTTGGTAAAGACCATTGGTTCCAAAATATTAAAAGCAAACAAAATCCACATACACTGTTAGAATTTTGTACATTCGAGAATAATTTCACATCCTGTTCCTTCAAATTTTCTTATCACTGCAGTCAAAAATGTACATCAATGTGACCCCAATAATGATTAGAAAGCTGAACAAATGTCCTTACAACAAAAATATCAAACAAAATTTTACTAGTGTATGGAGGTAATCTACAAGGAAGGATGGGAGACTCCATCTGAGTCTGTGGGGGTTAAATTGAGAGGTGCCGAATACAATACAAATACATTACATCACTTCAAAATTTTCGTTCTGTCGTACAAGAATTTTCGTTACTTTAGTAACCTCTTCACTTTTGATATAAGACTAACATGCAAAAAAAAACCCCAAAAAAACGGACGATCATATGTCTAATATTCTCATCATGTGTACAGGGCTTTAGTCTGTATCCTCCAGACAATCTACTTGTTGGAATAGAGTGTTCATATATTTTGTGTAACAACTACATCAGTATTCAGTAGATATATTCTTCAACCAGTAGATGGCAGTGTTTATAAGTTTGTATACTCTATGTCTGGGGTGTCAAACTGGCGGCCCTCCAGCTGTTGCAAAACTACAAGTCCCCTCTGCCTTTGGGAGTAATGCTTGTAACTGTCAATCTTGCAATGCCTCATGGGACTTGTAGTTTGGCAACAGCTGGAGGGCCACCAGTTTGACACCCGTGCTATGTCTTTTCTCTGAAATAAAGTTTCCTGTAAAGCAGAAAAGCACATGTGGATTGTGCACTGTCAGTTCTGTAGGGATCTATACAGAATTTCTAACACTTCTCACACAGGTTATGTGCATATGCCTACTGCACTGGCCTCCACCTGACTCCTAGGTGCGGCCATCCTGAACTCCTCTGTATGCTAGGGTGGAGCCCTGATCCAAAGTCCTGTCTCCAATAGAAGTCCTGCACACACCTTCCCAATTGGTGTTTTGTCTGTACGAGACATGCTGGAACCTCTCAACCTGCCTGGATGAGAGACCTGGGTGATACAAAACCCTTTTCAGGCCATGGCAGGGCACAGCGTTGTCACACATGTTATTCATCTATTCTTGTATTAGAAAAGAATAATCCGGAGATACATACGGGAAGTTCCTCGCAGAGATATGCCGCATTTGTCTGAGATGATTCAATACCCGCTTCTGCTGCCAAAACGAAATGCAAAAAAGCCTCATTTCTGCCGAAAATGACAAAAAATATCAATAATTTGGTGGGGAAATGTCAGACTGCAAAACACTACAGTAAGTTTTGTGGACAATTATTTATATGATTCCTATGGACAACACAGATGTTTTATTCTAAGACATTTTGTATATGGAAGCTGCAGGCACCAAGAGGAAGAGTTAGAACTTGCTGCTAAGCTTTAACCCCCTCCTTCCCCCATTCACACTTCTACTGGCCTTCATGGGCATGATGGGCATCCTCACTGGCCAACAGAAATGCAAAGGAGACAGGAAGGGGCAGTCAAGTGTTAGGAAAGGCTGTTGCGTTGCTGCAGGCATGTGCAGGTACCTCTGCTTCTTACTCACTATACTGTGCCCTCCTTCAGCCCAATGACAAAGCCTCTTTAACCCCTTGGGGCCGACACCTCCCAACCCTTTAAGGGGTTTGTGACATCGGGAGGCGGGGCAGGGTTTAGGGTCATGTGACCACCGTGATTGACAGTCATAGCAGTCACATGATCGTAAAGCTCCCAATTGCAAGTAGCGATCGGAACGTTTCCGTGAGATGCCTGTAAATGTGCAGGGAGCGTGCTCTCAGCATGTCTTGTTTACATTGGGTATGCAAATATGCGCCCCCTCAGCACCAACGCCCTGTCGTCAAGAGGCCGCATATTTGCGTACACTCGGCGCCAAGGAGTTAAGGATCGTACCCCACAATATAGGGCATCGGGTCATCACTTTCTTTAAGATTTTTTTTCCACTTTGATCGCTTATTATACAAATTTTTAAACAATTGATTTCAGAGATGTACACAACAAAAACATTTGTTTTGTTTCGTATGGAATCGATTTGTTAAGTCAATCTTTTCATTTCGTTATATTCATTGTTAGAATGTTTCATCTTCAAAATTTGTTTTGTATATTCAGATTTGTTTTGTATATTCACTGTTCTGAATCGATTCATATTTTCAGATGTTATTTTGAAAGATTCATTTGTTATTTGAAAGATTCATTTGTTATGTAATTTCAGATTCTTCCAACATTAAAGCTCGGTTCACACTACAGCGATCCCAAAGATGTGCGTCTTTGAATTGCAACTTTCATGCGACTTTGATGTTTTTTGAACTTACAAAACCCTCTGGAGTCACAAACAAATTGAACAAATGAATACAAATTAATTTGTTGTTTTCACTATAATTTATTTTGGATTCGTTGAAATTCATTACTATTATGATTCGGAAATTTGCATACATTTGAATTTCTGAAAAAAAAAAAAAAGTCAGAATTTCGATTTGTACTGTAATGAGTCGCACATGCCTAACTAATTCTGTTCATAGCTTGCAAAATACCAATCATATGTATAAAGATTGCTAAAGACATTCAGCAAAATGAGATGGAGGGAAACAAGAAAATATACTGCTTTTGTGCAGAAAATATTTTCTTTTATTACAATAAAATATTAAAAAAGTAATTTTTACAACATTGTATATTAAAAGTAATCATATACTTCAATATGTTTGAAAAGCAATTACTTACAGTGACCCATCCAAATAAGCATTTACAGCTTTTCTGATAACAAGTCCAACGTTCCCATTTTGTTCAGCCACAAACTTTGCCAAACTGTGAAATATGAATGAACAAAGGTAGGTTTACTGCTTCTGTTATTAGGACTATATAGGATCTGTATTGTTATATTTTCAAGCACCTATTTCCTAAATGTTGAACTCTAGACAAGAAGCTAATAATACAGCTGCAATATACAGTATGTCTAGAAAACGTTTTTACCTGCCAAATTATTTAACTGTATTCATCCAATTCTATGATCAAGGCACCCCTGACAGAAAATACAAGTTGATCAAGAACCAGCCTGGACAGTGAAGGAGCAGCACACTATTAAGGAATCATGCTGTTCACTTTGCTTTCTTCTCCTGTCAGCATGTTCCCTTTCAGAACATATGCACTGCATCCTCACTCCTAAGGGTCTATGTTTCAATCTGGTGTGTGAATGTGTGTCACTCATTTGTAGAAGCACAATGAATCTTCACAGTAATTTGCTTAGTATGTTTATTTCCTAGGATCATCAATTCCATCTAGTGACAATAATGTAGTATATTTCCTGAAATACCTCAAAAAGAAAAAATAGCATATTGCTGCCACTACATGGCGCTGACAATCCTAGGACATAAACCTAGGAAATAAACCATTTAACTAAATTACGATAAGGTGTCATGGTGCCTTTATGAATAACTGACAATTGCCCAGCGATTTTTTTTTTGTATACATAGGCCCCTTAGTGTTTATAGCAAGGATGTATTTATTCTAGTTGCATTCATGAGTTTAATGAATACTTACCTGTATTTTTGGTGGTTTTATGTCTGCTTGGAGTTCAGCTTAGAAGTACAAATTACTGAAAGAACCTAAAATCTTCAACTCTGGAGAGTACATAACCCAGCACCTAATATCACATGACAAGAAATGTCCCCTGGCTGCCCTTAAGAATGAAAACCAAATGTGCAGTGAAAGAACTAATGACCCAAAAACTGTCCACACATTTTATATATTTATATATACACACACACACAGTTAGGTCCATAATCCATATATATTCGGACACAGGCACTATTTTAGTTTTTTTCAGGTATGTACCAAGACATATTCAAGCTGTAGTTATATAATGGATATGGGCTGAAAGTGTACACTCTCAGGTTTAATGTGAGGGTGTGTACATCCAAATTGGAGGAAGGGTTTAGGAGTTACAGCTCTTAAGATTAGCCACCCCCCCTTTTTCAAGGGACCAAAAGAAATTGAGCAATTGCATCAAAAGGCTGTTTCATGGCCAGGTGTGGGCTACTCCATTATTTCTTCATCAATTAAGCAAGTAAAAGGTCTGGAGTTGATTCTAATTGTGATATTTGCATTTTGGATCTATTGCTGTGAACCTACATCATGCTTTCAAAGGAGCTGTCCATACAAATGAAACAGGCCATTGTAAGGCTTCAAAAACAAAACAAATCCATCAGAGAGATAGCAGCAACATTAGGAGTGGACAAATCAACAGTTTGGTACATTCTGAGGAAAGAAGAACACACTAGTGAGCTCAGCAACATAAAAGGCATGGACGTCCACGGAAGACAACAGCGGTGGATGATCGCAGCATCCTCTCTATGGTAAAGAAAAACCCATTCACAACAACCAGACAAGTGAAGGACACTCTCCAGGAGGTGGGCATATCATTGTCAAAGTCTACAATCAAGAGAAGACTTCACGAGAGCAAATACAGAGGGTTCACCACAAGGTGCAAACCATTCATAAGCCTGAAGAATAGAAAAAACCAGATTAGACTTTTCCAAAAAAACATCTAAAAAAGCCATACCAATTCTGGAAAAGCATTCTTTGGATGGATGAAACTAAGATTAATCTGTACCAGAATGACGGGAAGAAAAAAGTGTGGAGAAGGCTTGGAACAGCTCATGATCCAAAGCATACAACGTCATCTGTAAAACATGGTGGAGGCAGTGTGATGGCATGGGCATGCATGGCTTCCAGTGGCACTGGGTCATTGATGTTTATTGATGATGTACCAGAAGACAGAAGCAGCCGGATGAATTCTGCAGTGTTTAGAAATATACTGTCAGCCCAGATTCAGCCAAATGCAGCAAAGTTGATTGGATGGCGCTTCATAGTACAGATAGACAATGATCCAAAACACATTGCAAAAGCAGCCCAGGAGCTTTTGAAGGAAAAAAAAGTGGAATATTCTGCAATGGTCAAGTCAATCACCTGATCTCAACCCAATTGAGCAGGAATTTCACTTGCTGAAGGCAAAACTAAAGGCAGAAAGACCCACAAACAAAGAACAAATGAAGACAGCTGCAGTTAGAGCCTGGCAAAGCATCAGACAGGAGGAAACCCAGTCTTTTGTAATGTCCATGGGTTTCACACTTCAGGCAGTCATTGCCAGCAAAAGATTCTCAACAAAATATTACAAATTTACATTTTATTTATGATTATATCCAAATTGTCCAATTACTTTAGGTCCCTTGAAAAAGTGGGGATAGCTACTCTTAAGAGCTGTAATTCCTAAACTCCTTCCTCCAATTTGGATGTACATACCCTCAAATTAAACATGAGAGTGTGCACTTTCAGCCCATATCCATTATATAACTATAGCTTGAATATATTTTGTATTCAGCCCCTTTAACTCTGATACCCCTAACTAAAATCTAGTGGAACCAATTGCCTTCAGAAGTCACCCAATTAGTAAATAGATTCCATCTGTGTGTAATTTAATCTCAGTATATAAATACAGCTGTTCTGTGAAGCCCTCAGAGGTTTGTTAGAGAACATTAGAGAACAAACAGCATCCTAAAGATCAAGGAACACAATAGACAGGTCAGGGATAGAGTTGTGGAGACGTTTAAAGCAGGGTTAGGTTATAAAAAAAATATCCCAAGCTTTGAACATCTCACGGAGCACTGTTCAAACCATCATTCGAAAATGAAAAGAGTATGGCACAACTGCAAACCTACCAAGACATAGCCATCCACCTAAACTGACAGGCCAGGCAAGGAGAGCATTCATCAGAGAAGCAGCCTTTATGGAAGAGTGACAAGAAGAAAGCCATTGTTGAAAAAAAAGCCATAAGAAGTACCATTTGCAGTTTGCGAGAAGCACAGCAAACATGTGGAAAAAGGTGCTCTGGTCAGATGAGACCAAAATTAACTTTTTGGCCTAAAAGCAAAACGCTATGTGTGGTGGAAAACAAATACTGCACATCACCCTGAACACACCCATCCCCACCGTGAAACATGGTGGTGGCAGCATCATGTTGTGGGGATGCTTTTCTTCAACAGTGACAGGGAAGCTCATCAGAGGTGAATGAGAAGATGGATGGAGCCAAATACAGGGCAATCTTAGAAGAAAACTTGTTGGAGTCTGCAAAAGACTTGAGACTGGGGCAGAGGTTCACCTTCCAGCAGGACAACAACCCTAAACATACAGCCAGAGCTACAATAGAATGGTTTAGATCAAAGCATATTCATGTGTTAGAATGGCCCAGTCAAATTCCAGACCTAAATCCAATTGAGAATCTGTGGCAAGACAATTGCTGTTCACAGACGCTCTCCATCCAATCTGACAGAGTTTGAGGTATTTTGCAAAGAAGAAGATTGGGCAAAAATATCAATATCTCTAGATGTGCAAAACTGGTAGAGACATCCCCAAAAAGACTTCCAGCCATAATTGCAGCAGGTGGTTCAACAAAATTATTGACTCAGGGGGGCTGAATACCAATGCACGCCACACTTTTCACATATTTATTTGTAAAAAATTTTGAAAACCATTTATCATTTTCCTTCCACTTCACAATTATGTGCCACTCTGTGTTGGTCTATCACATAAAATCCCAATAAAATACATTTACATTTTTGGTTGTAACATGACAAAAATTTCAAGGGGTAGAAATACTTTTTTCAAGGCACTGTACATATCTTTTTTCAGCTGGAATTTGGTGGAACTCAGTTCTCCCACCTCTGGCTCAGGCCCTCTGCTCCCTACTCACCACTATCACTTGTAAAACACAGGAGTCCAGCTTCTGTGTTTACAAGTGATAGCTTGTCTCCCAACAGCTCCAACAGATCAGATCTCCTGAGTAGATCCCACTAAGTACAGGACAGGGGCAAGGGAGGTGCAGTAGCCCAGGGGGCATTGCAGTAAAGGGCAGGAGGGGTCGTGTGGTAGTCTCTACCCTCTGTGACCTCCTTTCTTGTTTCCCTGGTGTCCAGATGTCAATGGTCTTATTGAACGATCTTTCTGCAAGTGAGAGAGGTAGAGTCACCTATCACGCAGAATTTTACATTTGCTCTTTGTTCTAACTTGCTGTCCATGATGAAATAGCAGACTTGGTAACACACGTGGTCAGAATAGCACCAGTTGAGCAGCTCCCGATGTACACAGGATGATAATATCTTTTGGCACACTGACTTATGAAGGTCGGTGCTCCCCGAGACTGTTTGCAGCCTTGTGCTGCCATCTGTTGGCATGTTACAAAACGAGTCTGGAAACGTTTTGATACCACCTTATATATAAGGGTTTACAACCACGTTAACAGAGTTAGCAAACACAGCTATGATACACTATGTACCATATGTTTTACTTACATTATGGCTGTCTCTGGATTTCTCTGTATATTTTTCAAACTCCCCGTGATTAAATATTGTGCTACGTTAATGGAAGCTTCAATATGGCCACCATCTGAAGCTTTAGACATGTATTCAAAAGCACGTGTCTGTGAGCAAGAAAATTAGTTTTAGTAACGTTTACATAAAAATGACACATTGGACAAGTTAAAATAAATTATATATACACTTCACTGAAATTCATGGTTTCTAATTTTGAGAAATGTATAATTCAATTGGTGTTAATCCTTTATTAAATGTTTATTAATTCCAAGTAAAATTAATCGGACAGACTGCACAGCAGTAAGATTTAGCAACTAATTCTGTTCATTAACAAAGATGAATAATTGATCATGAATACAATGATTTCAGATAATATTGCAAAAATGATTGTTCAACACAGCAAGTATAAAGATAAAGTGATGTCTTTACTTGGAGAAAATAATTTTTTAATGATCGAACCGTCTGAATTGTGAAATCCTGTATGAATTTAAGTTAGGGACTTTAGATTGTATGCCCATTGAGGGTTAGGGACTGATGTGAATGTACAATATATATGTAAAGCGCTGCGTAAACTGATGGTGCTATATAAGTACCTGAAATAAGTAAATAATAATAAATAAATAAATCCTATTCTTTTGTTAAAACAATCATTATAGTGAACAGGAGTATTGTTAAGTGTATAGACAGCACAAGCCTGTGAAAACGTTTTAGGTGCAAACACTGATAAACAGAAATTGATGAAAAAGATTGACAATTTTTGCAAAAACACAACAAAAAAAATAAAATGCAATTTTGGATATAACTTCACTAAAGAAAAAAATCAACACACATTTTATATATATTACCTGCCCCCAGCAGGGCTTTAGATGACATTTAGGCTCCATTCAAATTAGCAAAGTAGCATGATTTCTAGTGTGACTTTAGTGCGCAACTTTTGGTGCGACTTTAATCCAACTTTACATTTTTTCTGGACCAAAGTCGCATAAAAAGTTGCATCAGAGTAGTGCAGGCACCTTTTCAAAATTGCTGTGACTTCAAGTGGTGCCAATTTAAATGGGTGCCATTGAAAAGAATGGGCTGCGACTTGCTATGTGATGTCCAAAGTCGCATAACAAGTTGTACAAGTGTGATTAGAGCCTAAAGTGACTTATGCACAACTCAGGCTGGGGTAAGACCACAATGGAACATGAGTATATGCCATGCCCATTGGGCTTGAATGCTGGATTATGCCACAGTACACACAAATACCAATCATTGGTCAAATACAAGGGTCACAGACCGCATTTCAGAGTCAGAGCCTATTCTCTTCCTCCATCCCATATGGTAGCCACGCGCAGCTAGATTTGGGATTAAAAAAACAAATGTTTTCTAAATGTTTGTTCAATTTTCTATCAGTTGAATGGGATAAATCACCAATCAGTAAGCCAAAAAAAAAAATGAAAGGAGTAAGGTGGAAATTGTTTTTCTAGTCTCTTATCTAAACTAGGGAAATTCCAACAGTGAATGCGGTCCTCAGTCGCGAAAAAGCAGCTATTGTAATACACAGAGGCTATAAAAACATACATCCGGAAGTCAAATTTTTGTGGTCATGAACATTTATTTGTTTAAACAATTATGAACAGAACATGAATGCGTGAAAGAATAATGCAAACAGGTTTAGCCTTCTTTTGTATTATAATGACTGTGGCAGTTCTGGGCACTCCCAGAGTGTGAATCAAGGTTATGACCCAGAATTCTCAACTAAACAGGTTGAGGAGCTCCAGGGTACTCGTTTAATGCAGAGGAAACTGGCTTTTCCGTTTCCTCATTTGTTCGTAAAGTCCGTTTTGGGACCTGGAGTCTGGAGATTTCAAAGTGATTTGGAAGGGATGAAATCTCCAATCCTGAGTCCATGTTTTCTGAACCCCCAGCACACCAATTGTACAGGTTTGTGCAGGGCTTTAAGTAATAACCTGACTATGGTCCTGGGCTCCACCCTGGCAGATAGAGGAGGTCTCTGCCTAGGAGCAAAGATTGGAGATGGAGCAGCAATTGGCTGCCAAGAGTGTGGACCAAGCTGTTGAGAGAGGTCCTGAATGGTATACGGTCACGGTCTGTAGCAGACTGACCAGGGCTTGAAGACTAAAGCCTGAGCTATAGTGATGCATGTGTAAGCCAGGAGACTGCACATGTAGTTTCTCTGAAGGATCATTTGTTTGGTTGGAAGACGAATGCTGAAAACCCCTGTGAGGGAAACCTATGATTATCTGTTTTTGTACCTCCCCCGCCAATCTCTGTCAGCACTTGGGTCACATTAGCTTAGTGAAAAAGAGAAACTAATGGAGAAAAGAAACGTTGGAATACTAGTCAGTACCAGTGTGCTTTGTAAAGAATAAATCACCTCTAATGTTGGGAGTCCTAAATGTATTGATGTTGCTGCGTTATGTAAAACTGTTAGTTTAGTTTTTAAACTCTTGGGATATTGATCTAGTTAGTTAAGTAGCAGAGGGGGTTGTTAACCAGTTTCAGCTGCTTTGGTGATAATGAAATTAACATCAGGTGCACTAGATGGGCAACAATGAGATGACCCCCAAAACAGGAATGGTTTTACAGGTGGAGGCCACTGACATTTGTTTCCTTACTCATCTTTTCTGTTTTTCACTATATTTGCATCTGGCTTGGGTCAGTGTCACTACTGGTAACATTAGGCGATACCTGGACCCTACAGAGGTTTCACAGGCAGTCCTTCTTCTCGAGGATGGCACATCAATATGTGCCATTACCAGAAGGTTTGCTGTGTCTCCCAGCACAGTCTCAAGAGCATGGAGGAGATTGCAGGAGACAGGCAGTTACTCTAGGAGAACTGGACAGGGCCGTAGAAGGTCCTTAACTCATCAGCAGGACCAGTATCTGCTTTTTTGTGCAAGGAGGAACAGGAAGAGCACTGCTAGAGCCATACAAAATGACCTCCAGCAGGCCACTGGTGTGAATGTCTCTGACCAAACAATCAGAAACAGTTTCATGAGGGTAGCCTGAGGGCCTGACATCCTCTAGTGGGCCCTGTGCTCACTGCCCAGCACTATAGAGCTCGACTGGAATTTATGACTGAACATCAGAATTGGCAGGTCTGCCACTGGCACCCTGTGCTTTTCAGAGATGAGTGCAGGTTCACCCTGAGCACAAGACAGACATGAATGGGTCTGGAGAAGCTGTGAAAAACATTATGCTGCCTGTGACATTGTTCAGCATGACCATTTTGGTGGTAGGTCAGTGATGGTCTGGGAAGTCATATATATGTAGGGACGCACAAACCTCTACAGGCTAGACAATGGCACCCTGACTTCCATTAGGCATCGGAATAAAAGCCATGAACCCATTGTCAGACCCTGCGCGGGTGCAATGGGTCCTGGGTTCCTCCTGGTGCGCAACAATGCCCAGCCTCATGTGGCGAGAGTACGTGGGCAGTTCCTGGAGGATGAAGGAAATGATACCATTGAAAGGCCCCCATGCTCGCCTGACCTATATCCAATAGAACACCTCTGGAATATCATGTTTCGGTTCATCCAACGCCACCAGGTTGCACCTCAGACTGCCCAGGAGCTCAGTGATGCCCTGGTCCAGATCTGGAAGGAAATACCCCAGGACACCATCCGTCATCTCATCAGGAGCATGCTACGACATTGTCATGCATGCATACAGGCACGTGAGGGCCATACAAACTACTGAGCACCATTTTGAGTGCTGCAATGAAATTTCAGCAAAATGGACTAGCCTGCTGCATTATTTTTTCACTTTAATTTTCGGGGTGTCTTTGAAGTAAGTACTCTGTAGGTTGATAATTTTCATTTCCATCAAACGATGGGGCATCCTTACGTTCCTAACACATTGCCCAGTCCCTATCAGTATAGATATCCAGCATGATATTTTTTTCCCCCATTGAGATCTGATGTGTTTTCAAAGTGTTTCTTTATTTGTTTGAGCAGTGTACTTACCTGAGCCCCATCAGCTCCCCAGGGACTCTCTCTCCCAAATGGCTTCCGCTGCTGTCGATCACAGCCAGTGAGCCAATGAGGAGAGAGATAGGGGGTGGGGCCAAGCCGTGGCTCTGTGTGTGAATGCCAAAGCCCCTGAACTCAACCTAATAAAAGACTGTGTCCACACACACAGGCTTTTATGGGAGTTTAGCAGCAGCAGAATGTAGGCAGTTAAATGTCCCTCTCCTGAGCGCATTCAGGAGAGGAACATTTTGGCCAAAAAACACGTGCAAACACGCCTAAGAGCTAGCCACGCTTAGCGCTTGTGTGTTTATTCATTTCAATGGCAAGTACTCTGGCCAACAAAATGAATAAACGTCCAAGCGCTAAATGCGAGTAAACACGCTGCTAAACGTGGTACCGTGCTTACATGTGTTTTTTCAGTGTTTAGTGTTTTTCTGCTGCCAGTAAAGGTAATGTCTATGGCAGTTCCAGCAGACAGGTAGCCTCGCGTTTGTTGTATTTGTTTTTGTTTTTTTTTTAAATTGCCTTTAATATCACTTTAATGATGAAGGTCCCTTATCTTCATGTACACTATCTCACTCATGACAACATTCTAGGCACATGAAATCCTGTGCTGGCAGCAAAGTGGCTTAGCCATTGGCACTCCTGCCTGCAACACTGGTTTGAATCCTAACCAGGACACTACATGCATGGAGTGTGCATGTTCTCCCTGTTCTTGTGTGTTCTTCCTCTGTGTACGCCTGTTTAAATTGTCCCTAGTATGTGTATTCATGTGACTTAGGGCCTTTCGATTGTAAGCTCCTTGGGGGCGGAGCCTGATGTGAATGTACAGTATGTAAAGTTCTGCATTAAGTGTGGGCTCTATATAAATACCTGTTATAAGTAGTAAACTAGTCTTCAAGGAGCCAGAGCGCAGTACCTCTATTTTACTTTAATCCTATTACGACATATTCAGTATATATAGTTAAAAAGATGGAGCCTTACTTACTTCATTGGCTTCAGATTCTGAAGAGATGCCGTGCAGATGCATAACTCCAAGATTAAATGCTGCATCAGCATTCCCCTTATCATAGGCTTTGCTCCAGTACTTCACAGCCTTCACCTGGTCTTTCTTGAAATTATGGTAATACCAACCCAAGCCATTCAGAGCCTCCACTTGACCCTGTGGGCAAAGGCGGACAGGTAAGATATTCAATTCATGTCCAATACATAATATAACATTCCACAATTCCATAACAAGTCTGAATGTATGGGAATTTGGCTAATAGTGTATATGTTATTTTGTTTACTGAACATTGTTGAATTACTACATTTGTATATTCAGGCTGTCATCTTAGTAAAAGAGGTACAAAAGAATATCATCAATGCCAGTCACTCATAATGCAGGATTTCAATCCTTGTCGGCGTAGTGTGTTACCAATTGTTTTCTTGGTGACTGTGGTCCCAGCTGCCTGGAGATCATTGACAAGATCCTCACGTGTAGTTCTGGGATGATTCCTCACTGTTCTCATGATCATTGACACTCCACGAGGTGAGATCTTGCATGGTGCACCAGACCTAAGGAGACTGACAGTTGTTTTGTGTTTCTTCCATTTGTGAATGATTGAACCAACTGTTGTCACCTTCTCACCAAGCTCCTTGGCGATAGTTTGGTAGCCCAGTCCAGCCTTGTGCAGGTCTACAATCTTGTCCCTGACATCCTTGGACAGCTCTTTGGTCTTTGCCATGGTGGAGAGTTTGGAATCTGATTGTTTGATTGCTCTTGTGGACATGTGTGTTTTATACAGGTAACAAAATGAGATTAGCAGCACTCCCTTTAAGGCTGCTTCTAATCTCAGCTTGTTACCTGTATGAAAGACACCTGGTAGCCAGATATCCTGCTGAATGATAGGGGATCAAATACTTATTTTCCTCATGAACATGCACATCAGTGCATAATTTGTTAGATATGCATTTCTTTTTAATCTGTTGTTGCTATGCTGTCACAGTGTTACAATACACCTACCATTTAATTTTTAGACTGATCATTTCTTTGTGAGTGGGCAAACATTCAAAATCAGCAGGGGATCAAATACTTATTTCCTTCACTGTAAGTGATCCTTCAGTTTTGTACGACTGTCATATCCCTACCAGCATTTGCATCTCATCCAACTACCCTGTCCATTACCAGGTTGAACATTAGTGAAAGGATCCCTTAATAGATTTTTTATAATAATTAACAGATAATCTAGAAAGTGATATATTCCATAAAGCCTTTTGTGAGGGTACCAAACTAAGCAAGAACACACTAAAAGGTCCAAGCGTTAAAAGAAACTGGGAAGTGATTCAACCCAAAATACAGGATCCAAGAACCACTACACTTCCTGTTTCAAAGCCTGTTATCATAATAAATAAGGCTGACCATAGATGCATTTTATTTTTCTTCAGTCAGCAGGATAAATGAAAAAAAAAACAGATTTTTTTTCATCCACACAGTTGAGGTGGATAGAGGAATGCTCCCCGCTGAGACATAGTATTCTGAAAGTGGGGACTCTCAGCTGTCAGAATACACTGATCAGCAGCTGCAGCTAATTTTTCTTGATCAGCAGCTGCAGCCGCTGACTGGGAAAGCTTTTCAACAAATCTATTTCACACAATTCAATTGTTAGATCAGGATCACCAACACATGGATCAAAATTCAGCAGGGACAATTGTATCCATCTATGACCATCTATGACCAATCTTGTTTTCTAGAAAAAAAAAAAAAATCACCTTAGAAGCAGATTTCTTCATTAACTCCAAAGCTAGTTTCTTGTTTTTTGGCACACCATCACCCTAAACACATAGGAAAAGAATTATTTAACATAAAAACTATATTAATGATATTCATGTTACAGTTGTGCATGCTTGTGTAAAAAGCCACCTTGATTGACAGTGCAGTATCAGGACTGGTGCTTTGGAGAGCCACCATTTTTTGGGAAAACTCCTTCAAAGCATAAAGCATTCCCCTAATGCTGAAGGACATGCAGGCTGGTATCCAAATAGCAGGGGGCTGCACACTCACAGTTTCCTCAGTATGTGGAAACCAGTCTGCCTCAGAGGAAGGGACATAAAAAAAATGTATATATATATATATATATATATATATATATATATATATATATATATAGTGAGGAATTTAGCTCAGTAGCTGGGTTGTGTTTGACCCTCTGGGTGAGTCAGAGCATGGTGAAAGAGGCACAGCATGACAGCAGGATCTTGATGAAGCAAGTTTTGCTTTATTTACAAGGCTGGTGATCACATATATCCAAAACAGCAAAAAAAAAAACAACCAAACAAACAAAATAAAGCCCCGCCACGTTGGGCATCTAACTGAAAACACAGGATCCTATCTACTTGTCTGGATACAGCCTACCACTGCTCAGACACATGGGGGTTTATTTACTAAAGCTGGAGAGTCCAAAATCAGACTCCCTTCTGCATAGAAACCAATCAGCTTCCAGGTTTCATTGCCAAAGCTTCATTGAACAAGCTGAGGTTAGAAGCTGATTGGTTTCTATGCAGAAGGGAGTCTGATTTTGGACTCTCCAGCTTTAGTAAATAAACCCCAAGGCGTTCACACAGAGTATCTCCAAGTCCATAATCACACAGACTTAGGCTGGTCATACATTATACAAATTTCTTGAGAATTTTGCTTTAGATTTACCAAAAACCATATAATATGAGGTCAAACCTAAACAACACTTTCAATTGTATCCAATTAGGCAGGCCCTTGCACTACATAGTTGAAGGTAAATCTAAAGGAAATTGGACAGAAAATTGTATGATGTATGGCCAGCCTTACTCTCACCACAGTATTGTTAGGTTGCTCCCCAGTCTGTCCTGCACAGAAAACTGGTTCCAGGTTGGAGCATCCTCCCTAAACAGTCTGGGAGTTATATAGAGCCCAGACAAAGAGAAGATCTGTTAATGCACATAGAAATAGAGCTTGTAGAGGCTCTGTGTGGATTTCAGAAACCTATTGTAACTTTTGACTTTTGACTTTAAACCTATTTTAACCTGCTACAGCTGAGCTCATTAACTACTTGATAGCCGAATGACGGCCACACTGCTGCCGGCTAGTTCTGGGAGGCCATTTACCATGTGATCAGCCGTGTCCAATGACATGCTGATCACAGGGAAATGCAATTGCCGGTTCTCGGCTGCACTTTCCGTGAGGAAAGTACTGCCGAGAACCGGCAGTTGTCAGAGCAGGTATCGGCACCAATCATCAGGGCACTGATGATTAGTGCCCTGATGATCGGTGCCCAGCAGCGCCACCCACCAGTTCCGCCCACCTGTGCCCAGCAGTGCCGCCCACTAGCTCCGCCCACCTGTGCCCAGCAGTGCCCACCAGTGCCACCCACCTGTGCCCAGAAGTGCCACCTACCTGTGTCCAGCAGTGCCACCCACCTGTGCCCACCCACCTGTGCCCACCAATGCCACCCACCTGTGCACACCAGTGCCATCCACCAGTGCCCATCAATGCAGCCCTGCAGTGCTGCCACCAGTCAGTGCCCAGTGGTTGTGCCAGTCAGTGCCCAGCAGTTACGCCAGTCAATGCCTAGCAGTGCCGCCAGTCAGTGCCACCTATCAGTGCTGTCTATCAGTACCCATCATCAGTGCCGCCTATCCGTGCCACCTCATTAGTGCTGCCTATCAGTGCCGCCTATCCGTGCACCTCATTAGTGCTGCCTATCAGTGCCGCCTATCAGTGCCCTTCAGTGCTGCCTATCAGTGCCCATCAGTGCCGCCTATCAGTGCTGCCTCATCAACGCACATCAGTGAAGGAGAAAAATGATAAAAAAAATACCACCAAAAGAAAGCTCTATTTGTGAGAAAAAAATGCAAAAAATTTCATAGGGGTATAATCTTGTATGACCGCGCAATTGTCAATTAAAGTGTGACAGCGTTGAAAGCTGAAAATTGGCCTGGTAAAGAAGGGGGTATAAGTGCCCGGTAGGCAAGTGGTTAAATCATCAGTAAGCCAAATAGGCTCACTACACAGCACAAAAGGAGCATTAATCTGAGACAAATATACCTCCCATCCTGGACACATCCCTTAGATCTTTCTGGCTTCCTGTCACAATATATTATATATATATATATATATATATATATATAACATATACATACATACATATATACAGTACATACACACACACTATATATATATGTATATATATAGTTCCAATCAACTCCATGGCCACAGGTGTGTAAAATCAAGCCCCTAGGCATGCAGACTGCTTCTACAAACATTTGAGCAAGAATGTGTCTCTCTCAGGAGCTCAGTGAATTCAAGCGTGGTACAGTGATAGGTTGCCACCTGTGCAATAAGTCCATCCGTGAAATTTCCTTGCTACTAAATATTCCACGGTCAACTGTTAGTAGTATTGTAACAAAATGGAAGCAACTGGGAACAACAGCAACTCAGCCATGAAGTGGTAGGCCACATAAAATGACAGAGCGGGGTCAGCGCATGCTGAAGCACACAGTGCGCAGAAGTCACCAACTGTCTGCAGAGTCAATAGCTAAAGACCTCCAAACTTCATGTGGCCTTCAGATTAGTACAACAACAGAGAGCTTCATGGAATGGGTTTCCATGGCCAAGCAGCTACATCCAAGCCTTATATCACCAATTGCAATGCAAAGGATTGGATGCAGTGGTGTAAAGCATGCCACCACTGAACTCTAGAGCAGTGGAAATATGTCTGGAGTGAAGAAGCGCACTTCTCTGTCTGGCAATCCGATGGATGTGTCTGGGTTTGGTGGTTGGCAGGAGAATGGTACTTGCCTGACTGCACTGTGCCAAGTGTAAAGTTTGGAGGAGGGGGGATTATGGTGTGGGATTGTTTTTCAGGGGTTGGGCTTGACCCCTTAGTTCCAGTAAAGGGAACTCTTAAGACGTCAGCATACCAGGAAATTTTGGACAATTTCATGCTCCCAACTTTGTGGGAACAGTTTGGAGATGGTCCCTTCCTGTTCCAACATGACTGCACACCAGTGCACAAAGCAAAGTCCATAAAGACATGGATGAGCGAGTTTGGAGTGGAGGAAGTTGACTGACCTGCACAGAGTCCTGACCTCGACCAGATAGAACACTTTTGAGATGAATTAGAGCGGAGACTGTGAGTCAAGCCTTCTTCTCTGACATCAGTGCCTGACCTCACAAATGCTCTTCTAGAAGAATGGTCAAACCTTCCCATAGACACACTCCTAAACCTTGTGGACAGCCTTCCCAGAAGAGTTGAAGCTGTTATAGCTGCAAAGGGTGAGCCAACTCAATATTGAGCCCTATGGACTAAGACTGGGATGCCATTAAAGTTCATGTGTGTGTAGACAGGTGTCCCAAATATTTTTGGCAATATGGTGTATATATAAACATACACAGCGTATATATATACATATATATGCACTGTATATATGTACAGTACTGTGCAAAAGTTTGGGACAAGTGTGAAAAAATGCTGTAAAGTAATAATGCTTTCAAAAATATATATTTCCTTACTCACTCTCTGGTACATGACCCCAGACCTAATTTCTATGTTCACCCGCTCAGTATCCCCAATGGTCTGCAGAGAACAGGCACTCTCCTTCACATTCGGTGGACCTGCCCCAAGGCGCTTCGGTTCTGGACATGAGTTTGCACCATGATCCATGTCTGATGTCTCTTTGGCTCGCAACCCCTGGGTGGCCCTGCTACACAAACCAATTATGTCCTTATCAAGGAATCAGAGGAAGCTTAAGAGGTTTGTGTTCCTGGCTGTCCAGCAAACCCTTGCTCGGTCGTGGAGCCAGCCTTTTCTTAATCTTTCTTATGGTGCATGAGAAGCTCACATCTATCCTTGAAGACACACATGGCCAGTACCTTAAGGTCTGGAGCCCCTGAATTGTTTTCCACACTCAGACGAACATACAGTAGATTGTAACTTGCTCTCCATGTGAATCGTTCTGGGAACAGGTGGTGAGACCACTCCAGTTGGTCCATTCCTTTTTTTCTGGATGCCGCATTGCTCTAGACCTGTTCATGTACCTTGTTCTAACAATATCACTGTTTTGTATATTGTATGAAAATGGGCAATATCATCCACTTGTTAAAAAATGTAATATTGGCCAAAAAATAGGTGATGCTCAGGCAAACATTTTGTGAATCTTGGCTAAATGCATTTATAAACAGATGACTTATTTTTTAATCTTAAGTGTGCGTACACGTGTTCACAGTATATAGAAGTCTATGAATCTAAAATCACCATTATTTTACAGCATATTCCTGTGTGAGTCCTCCAAAACTACTCATATAGCTATAGAAGAAAGGACACTAGTGCCTCCTGCTGGCCACTTCTCTGAACTACAAAGAGCATAGTTCACATGCAGAATAAAACTGACAACCTACCTTAAACAAGAGGACAGCATAATCGTACATCAGCACTGGCTCTTCGTTCTCCAGAGCTCCCCGTTCATACCATTCTATGGCTGCTCTGGTGTCCTGAGCCACACCTTGCTGACCCCAGAAAAGCATTTGGGCCAATCTGTGCTGCAAGAAAAAGTCAAAGATTGGCATAAAGTGCTTTTTTATATTTTGGTAGTGATGTTGGGCAAAAAAAGTATATAAAAACAAGTTGCGGGATACAGCATAGACAAAACATAAAAATGCATGAAGAAAAAGCTTACCGCTGGATATCAAAAGAGTCACGTGTTCATAAACTGAAATTCATTCAGGATGGAAATATGATTTCAGTGTACATAACCTTTTATTTATTCTACTCTGCTTTTGTTGATAAGAATCTACAGAATACAGGTGCCCTTTATGTCATAGCATCTATGATGCCTGGCTGCTTTAAATCACAAAAGTATGATAAACTTACTTCTGGTATGTGAAACTATATACAGTGCTCAGCATAACCCACATGGAAGAAAAATATATTTGAAATATATTTTAAAAATATTTTCCCAAATATTTTGCCATATATTTGAAATGCTACAATTTTGGCCATATTCAATATATTTCAAAAAAATATTTCAATAAATATATATATATAAAATAAAAGTGCAGCGCTAGAAATTGATATAAATAATGTCCGTATAAATAAGTATGTATGGAGAAAATAATCATAAATCAATACTCCTTAGGTGACAATCTGTGCATGTATACAGGTAAAACTCAAAAAATTTGAATATCGTGCAAAAGTTCATTTATTTCAGTAATGCAACTTAAAAGGTGAAACTAATATATGAGATAGACTCATTACATGCAAAGCAAGATAGTTCAAGCCGTGATTTGTCATAATTGTGATGATTATGGCTTACAGCTCTTGAAAACCCCAAATCCACAATCTCAGAAAATTAGAATATTGTGAAAAGGTGCAATATTCTAGGCTGAAAGTGTCCCACTCTAATCAGCTAATTAAGCCATGTCCCCCTGCCTTTGTACAGCGCTGTGCAAACCCTTTGGCGCTATATAAATACTGTATAATAATAATAATAATACCTGCAAAGGGTTCCTGGGCCTTTAAATGGCCTCTCAGTCTGGTTCAGTAGGAATCACAATCATGGGAAAGACTACTGACCTGACAGTTGTGCAGAAAGCCATCATTGACACCCTCCATAAGGAGGGAAAGCCTCAAAAGGTAATTGCAAAAGAAGTTGGATGTTCCCAAAGTGCTGTATCAAAGCACATTAATAGAAAGTTATGTGGAAGGGAAAAGTGTGGAAGAAAAAAGGTGCACAAGCAGCAGGGATGACCGCAGCCTGGAGAGGATTGTCAGGAAAAGGCCATTCAAAAGTGTTGGGGACTTTCACAAGGAGTGGACTGAGGCTGGAGTCAGTGCATCAAGAGCCACCACACACAGACTGCTCCTGGACATGGGCTTCAAATGTGGTATTCCTCTTGTCAAGCTGCTCCTGAACAACAAACAACGTCAGAAGTGTCTTACCTGGGCTAAAGAAAAACAGACCTGGTCTGTTGCTCAGTGGTCCAAAGTCCTCTTTTCTGATGAGAGCAACTTTTGTATCTCATTTGGAAACCAAGGATCCAGAGTATGGAGGAAGAATGGAGAGGCACACACTGCAAGATGCTTGAAGTCCAGTGTGAAATTTCCACAGTCTGTGTTGATTTGGGGAGCCATGCCATCTGCTGCTGTTGGTCCACTGTGCGTTATTAAGTCCAGGGTCAACGCAGCCATCTACCAGGAGATTTTGGAGCACTTCATGCTTCCTTCCACAGACGAGCTTTATGGGGATGCTGACTTCATTTTCCAGCAGGACTTGGCACCTGCCCACACTGCCAAAAGCACCAAAACCTGGTTCAATGACCGTGGGATTATTGTGCTTGATTGGCCAGCAAACTCGCCTGACCTGAACCCCATAGAGAATCTATGGGGCATTGCCAAGAGAAAGATGACAGACATGAGACCGAACAATGCAGAAGAGCTGAAGGACGCTATTGAAGCATCCTGGTCTTCCATAACACCTCAGCAAAGAAGGTAACACACCATAGGAATATCCAGGCTCCAGAGATACACTCTCCAAACAGCAGGGGGAACCATTCGTGCAGGTAAATGTAGAGTCACCAGGATTCACCTTAGAGGGGGGGCATCGCTTCCTCCAATGTAAATCTCACATTTCAGATTTATGTTGGAGGAAGCGATGCCCCCCCTCTAAGGTGAATATTCCTATGGTGTGTTACCTGCTTTGCTGAACGCTTGCCAGATGACCCCTAATGTTCCAATTTCCAGATGCAGATGACCAGGAGTTGGTCTTGATTTACTCGCATTAGTTTGCGCTTTCTGGTTAGTGTAATCTACACTCATTTTACAGGAACTGCGGTCACGGAATTTCACCTTTTTGCTGCTATTGAACTTTGAATCACTGTACGTCACTATATGCACTTTATGATGTTGAGTTTGGACGTTGTTGCACATTACTGTTTTTAGCGCCTCAGAGCGCTATTTTATATGATTGATTGCTTATGGTAATAGTAATTTGCTGTCTTATATATATTTTTTATTGATCAACATTTCCTTCAGCGCTGCATATATACATGTTATGTGCATATATAGTGCCAACTGCGGCGATACTTCAGTGCTTGTGCTTTGAAACAGTGGGGTAAGAATACGCACTCACCAGATGTGTAATGGGAATATGCATTAAATCAATCTCCAGAGGTCCCTGTTAAGGAAGCGGATTAAGCCAGGCAAAGGATTATACTCCCTCTGGGTGGTGTGTGGTATGTCAGGTACTTCTTGCCCAGGAAGCGGGATGCGGCTATGGCTGTCTGTTCATCGTGGCCGGAGACGGCAGAGGGAAGGCGGACATGCAGTGCAGGCTCAGCGGATGGGGACAGTGCAGTGCATGCAGTGAGAGGGTGCAGTGCGGAGAAGAGGAGGCAGCGGGGGGAGGGATGGAGGGAAGTCCTACACACCTCCAGCCATCCAATCAGACCCCTTCCTGGCCGGGACAAGGCAGAGTCCACGCTGCAGCCCAGCACCCACCTCTTACTTCTCTCCACTCTCCCTTCTCCGAACCCAATGCCTGCTCCTATATATATATACTGCATGTTGAAATGCGTTTTTTATAACAAAATATATGAAAAATATTTTTAAAAATAAATTTCAAATATACTGTATGTCTTTAGAAATACAAATCTACATTTATGGAATGCATCTACAAATATATGTACAAATATATGTTAAATTATGACTTTTTTATATGTTAAAAAATATCTGAAGAATATATTTAAAAAAAATATATTTTAAAAACAATATATTTTTTAAATATATTCTTCAGATTTTTTTAAAAATATAAAAAAGTAATTTTAACATATACTTTTACATATATTTGTAGATGCATTCCACAAATGTAGATTTGTATTTTTAAAGACATTCAGTATATTTATAAATATTTATATATTAAAAATAAATTTCACTGTAACAAAAGTGATACAAAAATTTCATAAAGATAGAACTGCAACCATCCCACAAAGACATCCAAGCTGTCCACAGAAGCTAACAGCGCGACAGGAGCATCTGCTGATGAGAAGGGTTGAAGAAAATCGCCATGTAAGTTCACTGCAGTTAGCTAAAGAAGTAGAATACCAAACTGGGGTGATTGTTTCCTGTGACACAATATGGCGTACACTGCAGAGGAATGACATGCAAGGGTGTCATCCATGAAGGAAGCCTCTCTTAAAGCCCATATACAAAAAGCCCACCTAGAATTTGCTAGGGCCCATGCTGAAAAAGAAGACTATTGGGACTCTGTACTCTGGAGTGATGAGACCAAGATAAATGTTTTTGGAACTGATGGCTTTCAAAAATGTATTGTGTCGCAAAGCTGAGGAGTACAAAGAAAATGCATGGTGCCTACAGTGAACTATGGTGGTGGCAGTGTCCTTCTGTGGGGCTGCATAAGTTCTGCTGGTGTTGTGGAGCTGCATTTCATTGATGGTATCATGAATTCACAGATGTACTGCTCTAAATTGAAAGAGAAGATGCTGCCATCACTCCGTGCCCTGGGTCGTCATGCACTTTCCAACATGACAATGATCCAAAACACACATCTAAGGCCAATGTTGCAAGAAGAACAAGGTGAAAGTGATTCAATGGCCAAGTATTTCTCCTGATCTGAACCCAATCAATCACCTATCGGAATTCTGAAGAGACAAGTTGAGCATCACTTTCCATCCAGCATCCAGGCTCTAAAAGAGGTCGTTCTTGAAGAATGGAAAAAGATAGCTGTTGCAATATGTTGCCAACTTGTTCATTCCATGCATAGAAGACTGGGTGCTGTCCTTACAAATCATGGAGGTCATACAAAATACTAGATGGAGTAGTTTTTGTTGTGGGGCGTATTAATTTTTGCTTCAACTAATCTGAGTAAATCTGAAGATTTTGTAATCTAAGTTATATTATTAACCTTACGTTCATGTAATGAGCTAAACAAATGTTCTATAAAACTCAGTTTTGTCAAGATTTTGGAAATTGTTCTTGTGTTCATTGAGATATTGATTAAAATCTTACTTTTCAAAAGAGGTGTACGCATTTATGCTGAGCACTGTACAAAGCCACTTCATATTCATTTAACTACTATAGGTCCAATTTACTAAGCTATAACCCATGTGTTAGTTTTCATAATTTTAGCCATGTGATTTCAGCTCCCGCTGGTTGTGATCACTGAAATCAATGGTCAGTATAGCTTAGTGAACTAAGCTTTAAATGTGTTACAGTCATTAAAATGGTGGAGTTTCACATATAATGGTTATGCTACCTGGGCATATGGATCTCCTCTCTCTGCGTTCTGTTTAAGCCACAGGAACAGGTCATCATTTTCCCTGGTTTGCTCCTTTAAAATATCATCATCCATTAACCGCACAGTTTCTACAAATGCCTTGAAGGAAAAACAAAGATGTACAAGTCAGCTTCAAGGGAGAAATTACAATTTTTAATTTATGACTGCATATCAAGATAAGGTCCAAAACAGAGTAATGTATTCTGATAAACAGCCTAAAAGGAGTAAAATTCTGTAGAAGAAAAGAAAGACCGGTAGGCATTCTAATATATTGGTGAAGTTATTTCTGGATTTGATAAAATAACATTTCATACCTGTTCTGTGTGCCTGGCTGATCGATCCTTTGGAGTTTTCTTTGCAACATTCATGTAGTAGGCAAATGCCACATCTAGATCCAACCTGTGAGTGTCTATCCCTTGAAGATGCTTATATCCAAGCTTCATCAGAGCAAGTCTATCATCTCCTTGTGCCCCAATTAGGCTATATAACAGAGCCTGTGCATAGAAAGAAATATAATACTTTAATTCACAGATGCAGTTACCATCATGAAATGTCCGGTAAAGTGGACCCATCAGTAACTTTACAATTTTTCATGAATACATTCCTGATATATCACAATATACAGAGGGTCTTTATTAAGTGTGCCTTGTAACTTTAGAAACATTTGCTTAATCTTCTCTCCACCAGTGATTAATCATTGAAACTTGAAATTGTAATAAAATTGTAACACCAAATTTTTCTGATGGATCAAAAGGGGACTGATTCATTAAAACTGGGGATAAAATGAGAATAAACAATTTTCTATAAATGCAAGGTGAAACGTATCTGGTTCCTGTAGGTAACAATTCCACTTTTGTGTTATTTTTTTCTCCTGTTTTGATAAATCAACCCCATGATGAGCACCATCAGCATTAGATGACTGATATACTGTATGTTAGACAACTGATTGTGTCATCATTCAATATGCATCTTAATCTGCGATGTAAATGATAACCCTGGAGAACTGTGATCTCTTTATGAGCTAATAAACACATTATATAGCATGCATGGATTTAATAAAATATACTGTTTTAACATAAATAGTATTATATTTTGTAGCTTCTAATGGCATAGCTATTTTGACCTCTAACCCATTGTCACAATTTACCAAAAAGTGATTGCTTAGCTTTGGATAAACACCAAAAAATGCACTCTTTAATTGACTTCTGAGGAACCTTGGGGATCTCTGAGGGGATGTTTGCTAAAGCAGAAGTGGAGTAAAGTTCCATCACTGGGCATACACAAACCAACTTCCATCCCTCCCTTCCACCCTTTCATAACCTCTTTAAAAAAAAAACCTTCTAAAGCGGATTTTTACTCTTTTTATTCTCTGGAACTGCTTCCGGGTGCCCCCATGCCAACTGGTCCCATTTTTGTGACATGATCACGCCATCCAATCTTCTGGAGTCTATTGCTGGATGGCCAATAGGAGGTGTCCACATCACCTAGGCAGTAATGTGGACACCTGAAGCAGGACCCTCCTCTGTAGTATTGAAGATGAAAAACCCGAGACCCAGCTTGTTTTGTGACAACGGATTTAAGTAATTGAAGGAGCTGTTAGCTCGGGATTATTTTCAATAGGTGCCTGGAGAAAAGCTTAAGAGCCGATTCACACATGTGCGGTGCGGACTGAAGCTCAGGTTTCACAGCTAATTGATACAGTAGTTGTTCACCAGTTCCTGTCAGGTTTACATCAGGTTTGGGACAGGATTAGCTCTCAGGATTATGCTGTTCACACAAATGCGGTTTAGAAACGGTTCCCATAGAAGTCAATAGCCTGTAATCCACACCTGAACTGAAGGCACTGATCAGAAATCGTACATAACTCTTTTACAAACTGTGCTGAATCCGCAGCACCAATGCACTGGACATATGTGAACAGGCACCATAGGAATCAATTATGTTTTCACATGTCGTGTGGATTGGATGCGGTTCAAACCACATCCAATCCGCATGCATGTGAACCGGCACCTAAGAAAAACACAAAAAATAAATAAAAGGAACACTTTTTAATCAGAGCATAGCATCAAGTCAATTAAATGCCTAGGATATTGATCTGGTCAGTTAAGTAGCAGAGGGGGTTGTTAATCACTTTCGGCTGCTTTGGTGTTAATGAAATTACCAACAGGTGCACTAGATGGGCAACAATGAGACGATCCCCAAAACAGGAATGGTTTTACAGGTGGAGGCCACTGACATTTTTTTCCCTACTCATCTTTTCTGCCTGTTTTTCACTAGTTTTGCATCTGGCTTAGGTCAGTGTCACTACTGGTAGCATGAGACGATACCTTGACACTACAGAGGTTGCACAGGCAGTCCAACTCCTCAAGGATGGCACATCAATATGTGCCATTACCGGAAAGTTTGTTGTGTCTACTCCCAGTACAGTCTCAAGAACATGGAGGAGATTCCAGGAGACAGGCAGTTCCTCTAAGAGAACTGAATAGGGCCGTAGAAGGTCCTTAACCCATCAGCAGGACTGGTATCTGCTCTTTTGTGCAAGGAGGAACAGAAAGAGCACTGCTAGAGCCATACAAAATGACCTCCAGGAGGCCACTGTTGTGAATGTCTCTGATGAAACAATCAGAAACAGACTTCATGAGGGTGGCCTGAGGGCCCGACATCCTCTAGTGGACCCTGTGTCCATTGCACCATAGAGCTCGATTGGCATTTTCCATTGAACACCAGAATTGGCAGGTCCGCCAATGGCGCCCTGTGCTTTTTACAGATGAAAGCAGGTTCACCCTGATCACATGTGACAGATGTGAAAGGGTCTGGAGAAGCCATGGAGAACATTCTGCTGCCTGTAACATCATTCAGCATGACCGTTTTAGTGGTGGGGGTTAGTGATGGTCTGGGGAGGCATATCCATGGAGGGACGCACAGACCTCTACAGGCTAGACAATGGCACCCTGACTTCCATTAGGTATTGGGATGAAGTCCTTGGACCCAGTGTCAGACCCTACGCTGGTGCAGTAGGTCCTAAGTTCCTCCTGGTGCACGACAATGCCCGGCTTCATGTGGCGAGAGTATGCAGGCAGTTCTTGGAGGAAGAAGTAATTGATATTATTGAATGGCCTCCATGCTTGCCTAACCTAAATCCAATAGAACACCTCTGGGATATCATGTTTCAGTCCATCCGACGCTGCCAGGTTGCACCTTAGACTGTCCAGGAGCTCAGATATGGCCTGGTCCAGATCTGGAAGGAAATACCCCAGGACATCATCCGTCGCCTCATTAGGAGTATGTTCAGACGTTGTCAGGCATGCATACAAGCATGTGGGGGCCATAAAACCACTGAGTACCATTTTGAGTTGCTGCAATGAAATTTTAGCAAAATGGACTAGCCTGCTGCATCATTTTTTCACTTTAATTTTTGTGGTGTCTTTGAATTCAGTCCTCTGTAGGTTGATAATTTTAATTTCCATCAAACAATGGGGCATCCTTACGTTCCTAACACATTACCCAGTCCATATCAGTACAGATATCCAGCATAATATTTTTCCCTATTGAGATCTGATGTGTTTTCAAAGTGTTCCTTTAATTTTTTTGAGCAGCGTATATAAAGTATTTTTATTACTGCTAGATCAATACATATCAATATAATAGTGAAGAAACACAAACCTGGGCTGGGTCAGCAGGCACACTTAGGCCAATTTCATAGACAATGGCCAACAGGTAGGATGCTTTGTGATATCCACAGCAGCTAGCGTCCATTAAATGAGGGACAGAGGAATTTAGATGCTGGAAACCATCAGACAAATTCTTTATAACATGTTCAAATATCTTCTTCCCAAATGCAGGCACTGGATCTCTCAAAAAATCTGAAAAGAAAAACAGATAACATAGTTCGTAAGATAATTTAATTTAGCGCAATCTTTTCTAAAGAGGCTTTTTAAGGGTGAAAATAAACTTCAGAGACAGTGCATAAATTAATTAGTAAAGCATGCTTGTTATACTCACTATGGAACCTGAGGGGTTAATCCTCCACAAACACTGTTTGATCCTGTCCTCTCTGATTCTCCCCTTCTATTGTCCCCAATCCATCTGCTGATAGTACAGAGCTCTAGGAGACTCTGCACATGCTCAGTTCAGTGTGTAATGCTAGAGAAGGTTTTTTTTTTCTTTGGGAGGATGCATTTGATCAGAACAGGGCCAAACGGCATGCACAGACAGAGGGTCAGGGGTCATACAGCCTCATAGGACAGTCAGAGCAGAATGAAAACCCCTCCTGCAAGCTTTAACCAATGCTCAGCTGGAAGTCACAAGGCTGATCTAACTGCTGATGAGAAAAGGTATTTAGCAGTTTATATTTACTAAAATAATTGCATTCCCATGTTTTGTGTACTGTAGGAGACTAGATATAGTGAATGCAGGGTCCTGGGTTTGGTAACACTTTAAACACCCATCACTTTTACTCCAATTTAAAGTTCTTATAACTTAACAAGGTGCAACATCTTCAGCTATGCATTTCTATCTGTATTTTTAAAGTCTGAACAAGGTATGTCTCAAAAGTTCTGCCTACACTTTGCCAAAAATAAAAACAAGTCTCTCATATGGGAAGAAATTACAATAATTCTTCCACTGTTGTATCCACTACCTCTGTACAAGACTATTGTGTATTTTTGGCCTCTTTACATTTCTACAATTTACTTTAATGTCACCACTCTACATTATCCATTTAAGCACCAGGCAAACATTTGCTATATTGATTATAGATAGCTAAAAGTCCTTTAGGCATATTAAAACAATGGTGACAAAGGAAAGCGTCATCTTCTTTGGCATTGGCAAGTGACACAAGCTTTGACTACAGTGTGGATTATCACAATGGCATATATAAGACAATGACAAGGAAGTAACTGAGTAATGAAAAAACTTACAGATCATGGCCACTTTTACAAGTGGATAAACATGGTTTCTGCACCTAGCATAGATATTGTGAATTAAACCGTCACTTTACTAAAATTCCAGCCATGCATGAAAAGCTAGGGTGTAACTATAAAGGCTAAGTTCCCCCTTTTATTTTTTTTTTTTAACTCCAACTCACCTATGTACAGTTAATGTACTGTACCTCTGTTGCAGAAAAATAAAAGCTTTTTTTGATTTTTAGAACAAGGCCTTACCTTATCACCTGCTGTGTTCATGGAAAACGTCATGACTTCCTGGTATGTAGATTTGGGACGTGAGAACCAGTAAGACACAGGAAGCAGTTCACCAGTTGACCTCATTAGCACACACCCTGCACCCATCAATTATGTTTTCACTGCATCCTAGGAATCCCTCCAGAATGCCCTGGGCTGCATGCTAAACTCTCTGGGGCTGCGGGTTGGACACCCCTGATGTAGTGCAAGGGCCTGCCTGATTGGATACAGAGTGAATGGATAGATAGGTGGGTTCTCATTCCATAGTTTTGGTAAATTCCAAAGAAAATTGTACAGAGATTGTACAATCAGATTATATCTCCTAGAGTGTAAGTTCGAAAGAGCAGGGTCCTCGATCCCCTCATGTTTTGCATTGTATTGTTATTGTTCTGTCACATGTTCTGTCCCCCTTTGTAATGTACAGCGCTGAGCGAACTATTGGCACTTTATAAATACTGTATAATAATAATAATATAGTGTATGTCCACCTTTATACATGCACATAGGAGGGAGTGGACGGAGACACTCAGCTGTCAGCTCCCATTCACATCTCTGTACGTGGTATTTTTTTTTTTTTTTTTTGGAGGAAGAGTGTTTTGGAGCCTTTTCTACTCATGGGCACCCAATTCACTTGGAAAGACTGCTCTACGCATGACAAAGAAGCTCCAGAACTCCAGATTGGAACCAGGGGCGTTTCTTTTTGGTGCGTTTGCAGCACATTTGTTGTACGACAAAATGCACGGCAAACACACGCCTGGTACCCCTGCTTAGGGTGCCATTAACATTTAATGGTAACACAAGCGCTCTCTGCATTTGCAGCACATTTCTGAAACGCATGGCAAAGCGCACATTTTCTGTTCAGAAACACACAGATGTGAATGCATCCTCATTGCCTCTTTTACACCTAACCTAGTGGGACATTTTTTGGCTCACATTATCCATGACGTGGATAGCACAGAATTGATTTCTATGGGCTGCCCTATATCCAGCAAAGTAGATCATCTGATATTTTGCCGTGTTGTGGTTTGCATATTTTTCACTGTGTTTTGCTGCACATCACTGGTTCATAAGGGGGACATCGGGACATGCCTACACAGCATCCTTGTTTGCCCTCCCCCTGCCCTCTCCATCAGCACTGAGATCACATTAGCTGAGTGAGGGAGAGAAACTGAGGAAGAGAAACACTGGAATACTAGTCAGTACCAGTGTGTACAAGTGTATTTGCTTTGGAAGAATAAATCACCTCTAACATTGGGTATCCTACATGTGTGGATGTTGCTGCATTCCGTAAAACAACTAGTTTCATTTTCTAGATTTTAGAATGTGGTGCCTCGAGATTATGCAAAATTCTAAAGAGTACCTTTACTGAAAAAATTTTGAGAAATATTGGTATAGAGGAATTGCCTTTGAGATGGAACTTGTAAAGGCTGGGACCCCTTAAAGTATTACTGAACCCACAACAGTAAAATCAGTCTGTATATGCAGTAAAGCATGCTTGTTATACTCACTGTGGAACTCAAGGGGTTAATCCTCAGCATTGTGTAAAAAGGATATTTGATCCTGTCTTCTCTGATCATCCTCTTCTTTAACAGTCCCCAAGCAGTCTGCTGATAGAACAGAGTCTTGGGGGCAAGCTGCACATGCTCAGTTTGGGGTATATTGCTATAGAATTCTTTTTTTTTTCTTAGGAGGGTGCATGTGATCAGCACTGGGCCAACCAGTGCTGTCCAGACAGAGGGTGAGGGTTTAAGCAGCCTCATAAGACAATCAGAGGGACAACCAGTGCTCAGCTGGGCACTGATAGAAGTCACAAGACTTCTATATATTTCTGATGAGAAAAGGTATTTAGCAGTTTATATTTGCTTAAATTATTGAATTTCCATGTTGTGTGTATTGTGGGAGACCAGATATAGTGAATGCAGGGTCCTGGGTTTAGTAACACTTTAATGATTTTGCTATGGGCTCCCATCACACAATTTAAGCACTGCTGCACGGGTCAGTGTATGAGATGACACTTTTTAACTGTTTTTCCTGGAGAAGTAATGGAACTTAGTTCGGAAATGAGCTGAAATAAAATTCTAACTGCTTGGTGTACCTGCATCACATTCATTGTTGGGAATTATTATCCAGGACCACACTTTTGTGACACCTATGAACTATCTTCCCTGGAGCCTGCCGCCTGGAGCCAGCCTACACAAGTCTGCTAGCTGGTTAAAACAAATGTACAGCAAAAGGAAGTTTGCTTCTTATTGAGAAAGTTACTCTTAGAACCGCTTTTCCTCTTCAAATGCATGGATTTTGTCATAGAAGCATTCCTTGCCCTTTTTCTGAGCTCTGAATGGGGAATCTGATAATAGAAAATTCAGGAACTGGGTGGTTGGGATTTTACATTCAAACTTTATTAAACTTTGTTGAGATGAAGAATTACAACTGGGATTTACAAGGGATTGTGTAATGCACTAAATAGTAAATACGCATATTGAGTCAATGGAGTGCTGTTCCCAGGTTGAATCATTTGGTAATGGTTCCTGGGTATAGAATGTGCTTGAAGGATAAATGTCTGAACCAGGCTGGAACCATGCAGGGCAGAGCAACAATTTCTGCTTAATAGCCCTCCCCAGCAGCATAAATTTACCTTTCTCCATTCTGCTGCTGGGAACAAAGAAAAGCCCTGTGTAAGGTGTAAGCTACGAGTCACAGAATACAAAGTAGGGTTGCTGCCTCATCCCTTTAAAACTGAACACACCATTAATTACACAGGTACTGAGGCTAATTTAATGTAGATAAGGCACTAAGTGAGTTTGATTACCACTTTAATCAGCCACAGAACCTGTGTAATTAATATGTGTTCAGGGTTAAAGGGATGAGGTGACAACCCTAGTACAAAGAGGTATGGACTCTCCATTCCATGCAGTAAATCAGGCAATCTTCCATACCCAGCAGTACATGGTATTCCCTTTGGCTCCAGCCTGAATAGAGTGGTGGAGCGCAGAAAAGATACATATATCCTGGGAGTACATGGGGTACTCATTCAAAGTGCAACAGTGCTGAAAGCTGAAAATTGGCCTGGGCAGGAAGGGGGTATAAATGCCCGGTAGGCAAGTGGTTAAAGTGATTCTAGAGGCTGAAGGTTTTTTTACCTTCATACACTCTATGCTGAGAACCTTGGCTCTCTCGGTTCTCTCCCTCCTCATTGGATGAAACACAGCATTGGCTCCTGCTGCTGTCAATCAAAGCCAATGCCGAGGGAACGGAGGTGGGACTGAGTAACACTGTGTGTCCCATAGATATACAGAGGTGGCTCGGGAGCAAGCACGCCCGCATGCTCCTAGAGCACGCAGCTTGCTCTGTGGACACTCGGCGAGAAGAAGGGGCCAGAAGCACCGGTGGGGGCTCTGTGCAAAATCACTGCACACGGCAGGTAAATATGACATTTTTGGGTTTTTTTGGTAGCTGATTGGTTTCTATGCAGAGTTACACCAGATTTTGCACTCCCCACTTTTAGTAAATCAACCAAAATGTGTGAACAGCAGCTCTAGCACAGGTCCTTTCTGCTATTCCAACAAGATCTGGCAATACCCAGGAGCTCACAATGACAGGGCTCTACACATTTCCCTTCATTGCTCTCATCAGGACCAACCTAAAATATGGAGTGCTTGTAATAATGTCTCTAAGCCAATACAACCCTCATTATTACATCGTGTTTTACTCAACCTTTTTTTTAGTCAATACAACCCTACATATTGCACAATCCCAGGCACAATTTCCCTTTTTTTCTGCACAATCCCGAGGCACCCTCTACAATTCTGCACAATCCCGAGGCACCCTTTACAATTCTGCACAATCCCGAGGCACCCTTTACAATTCTGCACAATCCCTAGGCACCCTTTACAATTCTGCACAATCCCGAGGCACCCTTTACAATTCTGCACAATCCGAGGCACCCTTTACAATTCTGCGCAATCCCGAGGCACCCTTTACAATTCTGCACAATCCCGAGGCACCCTTTACAATTGTGCAAATCTCGAGGCACCCTTTACAATTCTGCAAATCTCGAGGCACCCTTTACAATTCTGCGCAATCCCGAGGCACCCTTTACAATTCTGCACAATCCCGAGGCACCCTCTACAATTCTGCACAATCCCTAGGAACCCTTTACAATTCTGCACAATCCCGAGGCACCCTTTACAATTCTGCACAATCCCGAGGCACCCTTTACAATTCTGCACAATCCCGAGGCACCCTTTACAATTCTGCACCCTTTTACAATTCTGCCAATCCCTAGGCACCCTTTACAATTCTGCACAATCCCGAGGCACCCTTTACAATTCTGCACAATCCCGAGGCACCCTTTACAATCCTGCACAATCCCGGGGCACCCTCTACAATTCTGCACAATCCTGAGGCACCCTTTACTATTGTGCAAATCTCGAGGCACCCTTTACAATTCTGCGCAATCCCGAGGCACCCTTTACAATTCTGCACAATCCCTAGGCACCCTTTACAATTCTGCACAATATTAAGGTACCCATTACAAAATGCAAAAAACTAAACTAATAGTTTTACAGAATGCAGCAACAACTGCACACGTGGGACACCCAACGTCAGAGGGGATTTATTCTTCCAAAGCAAATACACCTTTTGCACACTGGTACTGACTAGTATGCCATTGTTTCTTTTCTCCCTCAGTTTCTCTCTCTCACTCTAATGTGACCCCAACCCTGACAGAGAAGGGCAGGAGAGGGCCAAGCAAGGATGCTGTGCAGATGCCCAATGTCCTTCTTATCAACTGATGACATCATTGTTTTTTAATGTCATCGGCAGCTAGAAAGTTGTAATGGCTCACACAATGAAAACCTGGGGCTTTGTAACTAAAAGGCACTTGATCCACCTGCTGGCTGTTTGAAGGAAATTTGCTAAGGCACACCTGAAGCACCCTGAAGGCACCCTGGTTGAAAAAGGCTGCATTACATGAACACTTACCTAATGAAGTTCTCTCTGTAGATGTTAGAAGATAAAATAGATGGCTATGTTTCCTTTCATCCTCTTGTGTCCAAGGAACCACATTACAGGTGGGTCTGTCTCTATAGTTTAGGTAGAGGTCCGAGTAGCTATTCTTGGCTTGACCTGCAGAAGAGCCATTTGTTAGTAATTATATTTATTATGACATACACATCTGCTGACCTTTATACACATGATTGTTTACATGCTAAAATGCTTGTAATCAGCTCTTACTCTTAGTCTCCTTGATGTGCTCCTCTTTTTAGCACATTGACATACAGGCGTACTATGTCCTTCACGTTAAAACATCTGCTGTAATAATCCTGAATTTGGTGATATACTTCATCTTCTGGAAGAGGGTTAGATATCTGTATCAGCAGGAACAGATGACATGGGGGTTATCATTTATACAGTATGTGGGGACACTGCCTTACAGCAGTAATAAACCAAAAATCCCAAGCCCAAGATGTCATGGCTGCATTAATTTTCTTTTTTTTTTGGCTTTATGTCTTCAATTTTCATCTGGTGATCCAGCCAGTGAGTCTGTTGTTTTTTAACAGAACAAGCTCTCTTGCAGTTACAGGGATGAAGCAAACCATTTAACTCTGGCAGGCAATGATCAGCTTTTATTTATTTATGTAAGACCTTTATCTCAAAGTGAAAAAACTATTGCTGTAAATGCTTAAAAAGTGTTTGCTGTATTTCAGCTTCAGTTTGTTGGTGTATTTAAATCTGCTAGTCCATCTAACACTACCCGCCCCCCAGAGGGACAATGCTTCTGTCCAAATGTACCCCTTGTGCTTATTCATCCAGAGGAGGAGGAGGTGTGTTACTGGTCAGATTACCAGGGGAAAATGGAGAGAAGAAAGCCTAAAAAAGAACACAAATGCAGCCACCACATCTAACGACTGGTGAAACTGCAATATAGTACATATTTATTTTGTGCTTAATACGACTTTAAAGCGGAAGTTCCAATCATCCTGTCAAAAATTTAAAGTCAGCAGCTACAAAAACTGTAGCTGCTGACTTTTAAGAAACAGCCACTTACCTGTCCCTCTGTCCCGTGTGGTGTGTCCCCCGCAGCCCGTTTCACCGGCTGTCCTGTATTCCAGGAGGCTGGCATCTTCAGTGTGGGCACCCGGCTGTGATAGCTTGCAGCTTCACAGCTGGGTACCCACTGTGCATGCGTGCGTAGCGCTGCGCTTCATGAATGGTCCTGTAGTCTTCTGGGACCTGTCATGTGTCCCAAAAGACTAAATGGAGGGAGGACAACTTCCATTTCCGATCACCTAGGCGACTGGACCGGACAGTGAGAACGGGTACCTGTCAAATTCGGGTATCCGCCCCCCAAAGGTGCCAATCCTTAATGGAGAGTGGTGGAGCAGTCCTTAAAGCTGAACTTCCCCTTTTGGGTGGAGCTCCACTTTAAGCAGAAGTCTCCATAGTGTACTTTTGTGAATGTGGAATAGAATAAAAAACAAAAAAAACAATAATAATAAATATAATAAAAGGTGCTAAGTGATATACTTCAAAAATAATAACAAAACGCAAACTTAAATCAATACGCATGTGCAGCAAAACACATACATATATAACATCACACGTGCACAATGTGAAGTGAAGTTATATCTAAATAATATACGCAAACTCAAAGTCCCAATAATGAAATATTAGGTGAAAAAAGTCCAATAATGGAATATTAAAGGTGAAAAAATAATGATTTTGGTAAATTGTGTTTCCAATATACTGTAAAGTGACCACAGGTGGAACAAAAACCGTGCAGGTATCTGGGTGTAGATAACTTGTGAATCCAACCACCTTCTGGATTAGCCTCTCACCTTAACTCTTCGACCCTTGCGGGTCACAGAGCAGTATGGATTTTCTCACAGATCCTCCAGGCACCAAGGCACTCCAGAACCACTTCTCAGGATACAATATTCCCACTCAGCTCTTCTTCAAGTGTAGATGAAATAAAACTCTCCATGCAATTCCTTTACAGCAGACACAATCAGTGATTTGTACTGAGCTGCAGTCAGCTTGATCACCTTCACGCTGAAATACTCTACAGACCAAACACAAGTATATCAGTAAGTACACAGAGCTCCTATAAATAGAATTATAGGAGCTCTGTGTACTTATGATATACTTGTGTTTGGTCTGTAGAGTATTTCAGCGTGAAGGTGTCAAGCTGACTGCAGCTCAGTACAAATCACTGCTTGTGTCTGCTGTAAAGGAATTGCATGGAGAGTGATATTTCATCTACACTTGAAGAAGAGCTGAGTGGGAATATTGTATCCTGAGAAGTGGTTCTGGAGTGCCTTGGTGCCTGGAGGATCTGTGAGAGGGATCCATACTGCTCTGTGACCCGCAAGGGTCGAAGAGTTAAGGTGAGAGGCTAATCCAGAAGGTGGTTGGATTCACAAGTTATCTACACCCAATACCTGCACGGTTTAAAGTTCCACCTGTGGTCCTTTACAGTATAATTGGAAACACAATTACCAAAATCATTAGCTGCTGACCTTTTAAGAAACCATTATTGGACTTTTTTCACCTAATATTTCATTATTCCCCCGGACTTTGAGTTCACCGGCTATTATTTAGATAGGCTTCACTTCACATGTGTGCACCCGGCTGTGATAGCTTATATATGTATGTGTTTTTATGCACATGCGTATTGATTTAAGTTTGCGTTTTGTTATTATTTTTGTGTTATCACTTAGCACCTTTTATTATATTTATTAAATTGTTTTTTGTTTTTTATTCTATTCCACATTCACTTTAATTAGTTTGAATGTAGCATAGCATTTATATGGTTTTTATTGATTTATGTTATTGTACCCACATTCACTTTAATTTTTGAATGTAGCGCAGCATTTATTGGAGGTTTGGATTCACTTGATCACTGGTATATGATTTGAATGCTAGCAGCTTTTGGGGTTTATTTGTTAATTGTTTAAACTTATTTTGAGCGCAGGAGTCTCACCACTAGTGTATTTTGTGTGTTCTAGATACAGCTGGCCTGTAGCCAACGTGAGCTATGTTTACATTATGATATTCTGATGGTGTTCCTAAGCTTTGGCCATTGCTTGCTTTGGCCTGGTTCTGTTGGGAAGGCTTCAGTAATCAGTGTAGGAAGGGTCACTGGCTGAGTTATGAATATTTATCTCCACCAGCCAATCGCTTAGGAGATTGCTCACTGATGTGAGCTGGGGGAAGGTAATAAATATTCACAGCCAACTTCCAGAGTAATCTCCTTTTTCCCTCCTCAGGTTTCTGTCCTTCTTATAGCTGTGTTCAGAAGTTCCTGAAATGCTGCGGTTAATTTACTAAAGGCATATAAGCTGTTCACATTGCAAGGGAAGTTGCACTTAAAGCGATACTAAAGGTTTATTTTTTTCTTGTAAACTAAAAAACATGTCTATACTGTGTGTAGTGGTTTTGCACAGAGCAGCCTGGATTCTCCTTTTCTTGGGTCCCCCACAGGCTCTCCTGGCTTCTCCTGTCTGTTGGGTGCCCCCACAACAATCAGTTAGCTATGGGGGCACCTGCTGCTCCGTGTGTCTATTCACACACGGAGCTGTGGGTTGTCCCCGCTCCTCTCTCTCCTCATTGGCTGACTGGCTGTGATTGACAGCAGCAGGAGCCAATGAGGAGGCAGGGACTCAGGACAGCCGAAGCAGCCATGCACATTGCTGGATCTCGATGGGGCTCACGTAAGTATTGAGGGGGCTGGGGGAGGCTGCTGCACACAGAAGGTTTTTTATCTTCATGCATAGAATGCATGAAGGTAAAAAACCTTCAGCCTTTACAAACACTTTAACAAGGGCATTTGCCCCAGAGCTTAGTGAATGGTGGCAGTTTAACTCTGCAAAGATAACCCAATCACATGCAGGGAAAAAAAAAATTAATTGAATGTTTGCTTGCACATGATTGAATGATGGAAGTCAGCAGAACTTCACCTCATTCACAAAGTTCTGGGGCAAATTCCCATGCATAGTGAAGAGTCTTTTTGCCTTTAGTAAAGGAAAAGCACCTGTGGCTTCCCACCACAGTAAGGTTGAGGACACCCAATACAATCTGAATGTCCTTTAGATCTACCATAAACTATGTAGACCAAATACCTGACTATTTTATATACAAATGGAATAGTTTGTACAGATCTGTCCTTTTATTACATAATTTTGTTAAATGTAAAGAAAATTGGAAAGAGCATATATGATGAGATTGTACAATGTGTGGCGTTGCACTAACTCAGTGTTTCTCAACTCCAGTCCTCATGGACCCCAACAGGTCATGTTTTCAGGATTTCCCTCAGATGAAACAGCTGTAGTAATTACTAAGGCAGTGAAACTGATCAAATCACCTGTGCAAAATAATGGAAATCCTGAAAACATGACCTGTTGGGGGTCCATGAGGACTGGAATTGAGAAACACTGCACTAACTATACGGAGGGAGAACATGCTAGAACCTTCTTGCTGACCTACGTATTTGATGTATTCACCCACACTTTGTGTGAATAGGACCAGCAAGTAAGAAGCTGCTGCCTGTAAATGGGCATTGGAGGTTGCTGTGCATAAAGGTACTCTGTGTGGTTTTCAGTATCAATTTTTCCCTTATCCTCTCTCCCATGAGTGTGTTCAGCAATAAAACTACAAAATATAACTAAAGAGACTGGTGCCTATCTGTGTTATCCCACTGAAAGCCAAGGGTCCAGCCCTGAGAGGTGAATGTCCCTAGAGGCTTAAAGCGTTACTAAACCCAGGACCCTGCATTCACTATATCTGGTCTCCCACTGAACACACAACATGGCAATGCAATTATTTTAGTAAATATAAACTGCTAAATACCTTTTCTCATCAGCAGTTAGAGCAGCCTTGTGACTTCTATCAGTGTCTGGACGAGCACTGGTTAAAACTTGTAGGGGAGCTTTTGTTCTCCCCCGATTGTCCTATGAGGCTGCAGGACCCTGACCCTCTGTCTGGGCAACGCTGATTGGCTCTGTGCTGATCACATGCACTCTCCCAAGAAAAAAAAAAAAACTCTTTTGAGTCATTCCCTGTGTGCTGGAGGCCAGAAGGGGGGGGGGGACATCTCCCTGGAGGCTGAAGTGTTGGCTTAAAGTGTTACTGAACCCACAACAGAGAAATCAGGCTGTATATGCAGTAAAACATGCTTGTTATACTCACTGTGGAACCTAAGGGGTCAATCCTCTGCATTGTGTAAAAAGGCTGTTTGGTCCTGTTTTCTCTGTCCCTCCTCCTGTTCAAATGTCCACCTGATAAGACAGACTGAACCTGTAGTCTCATGAACATGCTCAGTTTGGTGTGTATTGCTAGAGAGGTTTTTTTTCTTGGGAGAGTGCATGTG